TCTTCCCGCTCTTTTTTGTTAATTTTTCAAGTTATTTCTGAATGAGGGGTCTGTAAAATCACAGCCCCATGGAACACCTTCAGAGAACTTATCCTATTGCTGTCCTGAAGAGAAGTCCTGTCTTTTTGGGAGTACAAATTCAAGGATGGTTCGTGCTGCAAATCTGTCCATGTAAATGAAAAGCTGAGTGGCTTTTCTGTTTAAAAAATCAAAATTTAGGTGACCTGCATCTTCATACCAATTTGATGCATTGTATCATTTAATAGAAACTTAAAACATCTCCAGTTTTTGCCAAGCTTTCCTTCCAGCAGCTCATTCCCCTGCAGCCCTAGCATTCCCTTTCTTACCTTAAATACAAGAAAATGTTACTTTTCATGGCTAAGTTGCTTTTAAAAGCTTAGTTTGGGCAGGAAGCTCCTGGATAATTAGCTGTCCTGGGCCTAATTTTCTGCTGGGAGTTTATTGCTGTAAGAACTGGGCTGAGCTTTTCGTCCTTGTACCTCTGATCATGAGTGGAGGGTGTTGGTCTCCATGGGCTCACAGTGATGGACATCTCTGTTTCATGTTGGGAAAGGTAAAATCTTGTGTGAACAAACAAGGCATTCCAGGGGTTTTCATTATACCATTAATTTCCCCTTTACATAAGGGGAAGAATCAGAAATGAAGGTACCTTTAGAAGTGTTCAAGAAAAAAAGAAAGATTAATACCTTTTTTATGAAGAGACCCCAAGTGAAATGCTGGGTTTGATATGGCAGGTGGGAGATGCCAAGAGCACAATGAACTGTAATTAGGGAAAATGTGGACTTGGTTCCCAAACCTGCTCCCTGTGCTGGTCAGAACATTATCTAACATCTGCTTTTTGTGTCTGAGTTTTGTCCTTATGCAAGCACAGGAGGGTTGGCTGCCCTCTGGTTGGAAGTTGTATCCATCCCAGCCTTCCTCCAAGCTCTTCATCCTTTTTTGTTATTAATTTCCCCCATTGTTATTTTGTTGAGGGCAAAGACTCAGGTTTTGGTTACAATTGTGGCAGAAGAGATTTTTCATTTTGGTAACTTTCTTGCCTAGCTGGACTTGGGGGTCATTTGAGAAGACACTAAAGTACTACCCTTTAAAAATGGCTTTTCCCATTAAAAACTAAAACTGAAATAATCCCATGGATAAGTCTCAAAAACGAGCTACACACACTTCTTGCCAACATTTATTTTCCTTTTTCCTTGACATCCTTTTTTATAAGCTTAAGGAAAGGCCAGGAGAGGTGTCAATCCTGCTCAAACTGAAGGAAGTGGGAATATTGGGTGCCAAGGCAGTGGGATATAATGGGAGTGACTGTTCTGGAGGGCTGATCACACGTGCCATTCAGAGGGTTTCTAGTTTGTTCTCACGTCTTTGTGTGGGTTTTAGTGCAACTGTGCAAAACTGCTGAGCAAAATGCCTGGTTAACCTGCAGGTCTCTTCCCTTATCACTGAGAATGCACTTCAGCATGATATTATATCCCTGATTTTGAGTAACTTTTAATTTAACAACTGATTCATGGCAATGTAGATGAAGAAGGTTCTACAGTGACTAAGCCCATCAGCAGGTTACTGGTGTGCACTGGGTCAGACTGGGCGCAGGTTATTCCATATCCAGATGCTACAGAAGCTGTCATTTCTTGTGGAAACAGGAATTGACATTATTGATGTCAGTAGTGGGGGAAAAAACTACAGAAAACAAACCTGCAGGACTTGCATAATCTTAATTGACAGCTTCGATTCATTTGACTTTATACAGCCGAACACTACACTGAAATAAAACCTTGTACTTCCGATTTCTCCCTCAGAAGAAAAGCTTTCCCAGCTCTCTGCACTAGAATTCTTTAGAATATCCTGTAAATTTGCTTTCCAAACTGCAGTAAGATCAGTGCTCCAGAAACATCCATTCACTCTTAAATTGAGTACTCTTTGTAGCTGCACTTCTGCACTAGGCATTAATTGCGGGGTGATTGCATTTATTTCTTAGTCTCAAAGTGAAGATGCCACTGGAGAGAAAAGCTGAGACTTTCTTTCACATGCAGGACTTTGTTTCCCTTGCCTTAGTTTTCACTTAACTGGGAAAATATAAATGTGTGACCTTGTTTTGCTTATACAAACGCTCTACTTGGCATGTAAACATAGGGAGGAGGAGGGATGTGAGGAATAGGGTAGGAAATACTCATAAAAATAGAAAAAAGTGTGTAAGTTGCTGCTGGGGAAAAATATTTATTGTGCAGCATTTGGGCCCTGCTGGAGACTTTGACTCTTCAGGTGTCAGTGCTGGACTGAAGGAGTTGGCTACTAGGTGTAATTGCTTGATGGTACTTTCTAGTTTCTGATTTTATGTCTTTGCTACCCCAAAGCAAAGGGTTTCCAGGTTGGGTTTGCCAAGTTACCAAGGTTTACCTTTAACCACATTTCTGCAATGCAAAGTGCATTTTTTTTTTTTTTAATTTTCCATACTTGCTGTAATGAAGATGGGGTTTTAGGTAGCAGTGCCAAATTACTACTGACCCTTCTGGATTCCCCCATTCTTAGTTTTACTGTCTTGTTCTAAATTATGTTAAACTTCTGGCAAAACCCACTTGCTTTCTGCTTTTGCAGAGGTTTTAAGTGTTTTTTTTTCATTTGATACATCAAAGATGTGTCAAAGGGTAGTTTGAACTTGAGTTTTCACCTATTGGAATATGAAACTCAAGTTGATGGCCTCAGTTTTAGGAGAAGACACAGTTTTGGCTGTATTGTTGAATTGGATTGGTGAATATCTTTATTTTTTTCCTCTTGGTGAATGTCTTTCCTTTTTTTCCAATGGTTTATGTTTAACACAAGCTGGAAAACAAGAGGCCAGGTCTTTAAAGAGATATGTTAGATCAGAGGAACATAAAGAATTTCTGCAGGTACCTTAACCCTTGGCTGATGTAGAATTTGGGACCTCTTACCAACATGGATGTGCACAAGCAGTTTATTTCTTAAAGAAATGTGGGTAGGAAGAGTAATTTTGGAAATGTGGTAAGAGATGGAAAATCCAGAACAGTTGGGTTGATGCTTGGAGGGAATGCTCCAAACTTTCTGACCAGTCCGGCAACCCAGTTATTTAAGTTCTAAGAATACTTTGTCACTAAAAATGGGATGGTTTCTATTGCAAAGGCACCAAACTCTCTCCCTTTTGACCATTTCTGTAGCTGATGAAGAAGGAGGATCTAAAATCCTTGAGACCAACAGATAGAACTGCTGAAATTGGTTGGCTTTGGCCAAGTTCTGTGAGCGGCCGTGGTGGTTCTATTTCTGATTGTAATAGAAGGACAAGTCAGAACTGGACTAAACCTCTTTTAGGGGGTTTCTCATCTGGTGAAATGACTTTCAGAAACAGAGGGATCATTCCTCTGAATACTATGCAAAAATGCTGTTCCAGGTTGCCATTTAACAAATGGCAGGTTTAGGAAATGGTGAGAGTTTCTTGTCTCCAGAGCAAGGTGAAGTTGTGAAGCTTCTATGGACAGTTCAGGCTGATGGTAGTTAAATAAAGATTATTTACCTTAGAATTTGGTTTTTTTTCTGTGAGATTAGTGTTCTGCAATATTCTGAGAATGCCTACTGGGCCCCCCAAATCTGCAGATGTCACCAGTGTGGGGGATACTCTGAGACCACATTTTGTTGCAGAAACTTGTTTTCTTAAAGGAGGCAGGTGATAGTTTAGTGGGTTTTCATTTTTTCTTCATTAAATCCTTTCAGGGCTCTCTGATGGCCTTTATTTCTACCGAATTTATTGGAGAGTTATTTATGTTCATTGGGAGAGAAGTTCCTTTGATTTCTTGACTGTCCCATGAGCCTTATTTTTAAGGGCATGTTATTTTGAGGGGTAGATTGGTGTTTTCAAAAGCAGTTGAATGCAGTTGACATCCAGTGAAGGTGTTCAAGAGCTCTGAGCAACCTGGGCTAGTGGAAAGTGCCCCTGCCCATGGCAGGGGCTTGGGTTGAGATCATCTTTAAGATCCTTTCCAGCCCAAACCATTCAGGGATTCCATGACATTCCGTGGGATTTAGATTTCAGTGTTGTTTGGATATTTTGAAACATGGATGTGATTCTTTGTGTCTCTCTAATGAAATGGTTGTGCATCAATAAGGTGGTTCTATTTTAAAAACTGATTTTTTTTTCAGTAGAAGACTTAATTTTGCCTCACACTGCACTTATATTACTCCTGAAATTGTAATATAAATCTAAATCACTATGAGAAGTATTTGAAACTGGGACTTCTTGGTACAAGGAAGGAACTTAGAATTAAGACACAGCAGTGGATCTTAAGAACTGGAGCTGTTGTGGACTTACCAGCTGCAGGGATGTTTTGGGACTCATGGCTGAGGTGAAGGGCACAGACTGATCCAGCTCAGCTTGCAGGGTATCTTGAGCATCCAGGTTAATTTAAAAGCTTATGGAAGTGTCCTGAGTGCTGCACATAGACAGGTTTGCATTAAAAGGAGTCAGTGTTTTTGAGAGGCTGGACAGACTTAATTACTTTATCTTGCTGGGTTGTGAGAGCAGTTGGAAACAAGCTCTGTGGGTAGAGCCTCACAACCAGGGCTCCTCAGTTATTTGGGTGGCCCTTCATCTGACACAGTGACAAGTTCAGAGCCTCAGAGAAGGACCCTCCTAAGTAGGGGTTGAGCCTGAACTGAGGTTTGGTTTTGTGTGCCAGTAAGGTTTGGAATTTGGACCAATGGCATAGGCTTAGTATTTTCTTCATTTTCTCCTTTAGTTTATTGTAAGTAACCCCCTGCCTGCTAAAGGCACTTGCTGGCAGGTCAGGAATTTGGAGGATGAACTCAATGGGCCTGTAATTGTCAGGTTCTGCTCTATGGGAATGCTGGTTTTCCTGATCCCATTCTCAACTCTGTATTAAGATGGGGTTTGGAATTCTTACGTGGTAAGAAATGCAGCAGTTTGGGCAGTTGTTTTAATCACATCCCCTGTGTGTGTTTAATTCCAGAGGCCGCAGCAGTGGCAAAGGACCACCTCAGCCTACGGTAAGTTTGGGGGTTCTCCTCCTTGTACCACTCCTGGTAAGAGGAAACAACTTAGAGACATAAGAATAGCAGATACTGGAATGTTCTCCCAGTTTTTTCCTTTGGATACTTTAGACTGAGATACAATTTTCTAAAGAGTAGCATCTTGCATTCATTTAAGTCTCCTGGGAGGGTGAAGGGGTGGAAGGTTCTCTTAAACTTTTGACTACACTTACATAAATATTCTGCATTTTCCTGCAATTCTAGTTGTAGATGTGAATAACATTTAGCTTGAGGCAGTGCTTTTTGAACTAGTTCCTATTTGGAGATTCTAACATTGGCTTCTCCCTTAAAAGAGATTTAAGACAGCATTTAATTAAATAAAAATAACTATTTTGTTTAGCTTTACTATAAAATTGCTAACTCAGTATTCTCCTACCCCCAATGTCTTTAGTTATTCTCAAGGCTATATATGATTGAAGTATAGATGTGGCTTGACTTGTAGAACATCATTTTATCAGAGCTAAAGATGTGGATCTTTGAACTGCACCAATCAAATATTTGCCCATTTGTTATTGGCCTGGTTTGCAAAGATGGCAAATTTGGGGGTATGGAGCAGAAGTAGGAAGGTTTAAAAGGGCCACAGTTTACTTATATTAACGTTTATTGAAGATATCAAGGCACTTGAGTAAAAATAAAGAAGCTTTGAGGGAGTCTGGTGAAAAAGGCCATATGCAGACACTAAACATCATCCAAGTGTTGGTCTTCATGTCCTGTGTGCTGAGAGCTGAGCACAGGAGTGTCCTCAGACGTGTCTTTGCAGCCCAGGGAAGTGGCTGGCACACAGCAGTAAGTGGATTAAGGAGCTGACAGTTGAAAAGATGTGTTGTCAGTGGAAAAGCTCAGAATATGGTGAGGTCCCTGCTCATTTCACAAGCCCAGAGTTGGCAGGGAGAGATACCAGTTATTGCAGCAAAGCACAGACATCCTCAGCAGTGAATGTGTCCTGGTGGTACCTGGTGAGCTCTCCCAGTCAGGGTTTCAGATCCTGGTGCTGCAGTGAATTACTTTGGACTGTTTTAATAACAGGGTTTGTAGCAATTTGGCGCTCGACGATTCACCGGCTTTGGCTCCTGTTAACGGGTGTAATCAGGGCTGGGAGATGAAAAGATGTGGTTCAGCAGCCTGAAAGCACCTTTTCACTTCTGCAGCACTTGGAGTGCCTTGCTCTTGATGGCTCTTAAGGCAGAGAGGGATGTCAGCAGGGCTCTTCCAGTCAGAAAACAAAGCCCTGCTGACGCCCCTCGAGTCTGTGCATGAGCTTCACCCAACCAGCCAGAGAATTTCAGTATTGAGTGATATTTCCTTGTTTATTGAGTGGGATTTTTATCTTGTTTGGAAGGGTGTTAGATCTTTAATTGGTCAGAGAAAAGCTAATGGTCCTTTAGAAATCTCCTGTGTCATATTCAATATTAATTTAAACATACATTCTATGTATATTGCCTGAGTAAGGCTTTGAACCAGTGTTTCTAGGAACTCATATGAAGGCCAGCATTGGTTTGGGTGCTCTGAATTTTAGACTTGTTACAAGTTTTTCTCCTGTGTTCATGATTTCTTTCTTATTTTTCAGATTTCTTTCGATGGCATCTATGCAAACATGAGAATGGTTCACATACTCACATCAGTTGTTGTAAGTCTTCATGTTTGGAAGAGGGGAAACAGTTCCTGTAGTGACAGAGAATTGTTAACTAGTCCAGTAATTGTAATATGATGGAGTGAATATTAAATTTTAGGCACTTTCTGCGAACTTGATCTCAGTAATTCTGTATTTTTGACTTGGAAAGATTTTAATTTGTAGAGGTACAGCAGATTTCTTAGGTGCACTGGTCATATTTTGAATTTTCTGTTTTTAGAGAGGCTATGGGTAAATTAAATGGGTCTGTGTGCAGGGATTAGAACCCTTTCTCCCAGATTCCAAAGGAAGTCCTGACATGCCAAAATTAAGTCCCACATCTCCTTGAGTCCAGGTTAAGCTTTCATCCTTTTTTGTACCCACACATGGACAGATCTTGGTTTTCAACAAGAACTTCTTTGTGCTTTAACTGGTCAAGAGTCTTGTAAAAACCAAATATGCTCCTGTGAGTATCTTTAAATCCCTCCAGAGCAGCACATACACACCCAGCTGTTTGCAGCTGCAGAGCACAGCAGTGGATCTGTAAATTGGCAGGTGCTGAATGAGGAGATCTGACTGAAAATTGAACTGTTTTTTTACACAATGCACTTATGTAAGGAATACATGTTTAAGAAAATCACTGAAATGCCATTTGTCTCGTAGAAAGTTATATTTTCATTTTTCTTGCGTTCTAGGGATCCAAATGTGAAGTACAGGTGAAAAATGGTGGTATATATGAAGGAGTTTTTAAAACCTACAGTCCTAAGGTAATTTTTTGACATTTTGACTCTTATTTTCAAAGCTCCTGATAATCAGTGTTTGATTAAAACGTGACTATTTTGTTTAATTCGAATATTTACTGTGAATTATTTTGACTACTTGCACAAGCAGATTGTAAATGTCTGGGGTTTTTTTTGCAAGTAGGTGAATTTATTGAGTAGCTGATGGTGCATTAATTGAGAGCCTTTCTGTGTGTCCCACAGTGTGATTTGGTGGTTGATGCTGCTCATCGGAAAACTGCAGAATCCAGTTTGGGGCCAAAACGTGAAGACATTCTGGAGAGTATCCTGTTCAAGTCTTCAGATTTTGTGATGGTGCATTTTAAGGATATGGATACCAATTATGCCAGAAGAGGTATATTTGTTTTTAAAATTGTTTGTTGTCATGAGATCATAAGTCAAGGTTTTTTCAAAGTAGGTGCTTCAGGATCCGAAAATTAAAGTTCACATTCATATTCTTAATTCTTAGCGAGTGCAAAACTCCTGAAATCTCAAATTTATCAAATATGTTTTAAATGGGTTGCAGAACCTTTGTGAGGCCACTTGGCTTTGGTGTCTGGAAGGCAAAGCCTTTGTAGTTTTACAAACCATTTTATAGATTCTGTGGGAGATCGACTTTTTTTTTGTTTTATAAATATCTTTTCTAAATTATGCTGTTAAATGTTATAGAAGAATCCGTGAAGACACAAATTCTTTAGAAAAAGATTCTTTTTCAGAGTTGATTTAGATACAAAGTCTATATTGAGTTAACTTCTGTATCTAAACATGCATTCACTGAAATATTGTAAAAATACTACTGCAAACAGAGCTCAAAGATCTTTAAAAATCCTCAACTTGTGTTTTTCATTTCTGCTTTGCTACTTGTAGGCTTTCCAAAATACAGAAGAACCTTGTGGGGTGACAGACGGGTCTTAAAATCTTGAAGACATGGCTTGAAACTGTCAAAATTAGATTATTTTACAGGCAGTCAGGCAGTTTTCATACTTTTACTGTGACCTCCAAGCCCCTAATTATTTTTCTGGAACCTGAGAGTCTCATAAGTCAGACAGCTCAATTCCTGTGCAAATTTCTCTCTTTTGGGCAGCAAATTTGAAGGGGTTTTGTGCCTGTGTTGCTGATTTGCTGGGATAAAGAATAAAAGCAAATGCACAGCTTTGTGTGTGGGGTGGAATTGTATATGTGTACATTTACAGGTTGATTAACAACTCTCTCTGGGAGCTCAGTGGTTATTGCAACATGTTTTATTCCCATTATCAGAGACTTAGAGATGTGTAGGGACAGAGGACTTTTAATGAGATCTTTCTCTCTTCACCTTGTGTGGATGTTCTTGCCTGATTTAAAGCTGAAGAATGAGAGGTTTGTTTTGTTTTTTTTTCTCAAGGAATTTTGCTTTTCCCAGAAGATGATGCATAATGTCAGAGCAAGTGTAGCATTGAAATGCAGATAGGTTCCAGGTTCTGGATGGGACTTGGAATTTAAATTACACAAGAGCTGTTTTATAATGGGTCTGCTATGAACTTCACTTTAATGTTAATGCAAATGGGGCTCTGCCTTATCCAGTCTTCATAGATTTTGAACAGACTGAAGGAAAAATACGCTCCTGCTTCTAGGAATGGACATTTTCTGGAAGAAAATGACTGCTTCAGGTCGAGCAGTCCCTCAGTTCACTTTATTAGGTGGAATATCTTGGAGTGTAAATCTCTTAAGTACTGGAGAGGAGAGTTGAAATAAAGCTGTAGAGACTTGGAGCAAGATAAACTGGAAGGCTGCAAAACTTGATAACTCATAGTGGGTAAATTAGTCTGCTTTCCATTTTGTCTCGAAAATGTGTTATCTTGAAATGACACTTGGAAGTGTAACTCTGATCACACCTTGACATTAGAGCAGTGAGGGGCTTTCTGCTTCCTGGGTAATTAAATAAGCAAGGATTCAAAAGAATGGAAGTGTGTGAGCATGCACACAGGAACTGCTGGCCTTCTGTAAATAAACCCAGATCTTCATGGCAGTGGGTCAGATAAACCTGTGATTCACAGTGAAAACTGAGTCTAAACTCCTGGATGAGGAGATGGTGCTCCTTGTCTTGGGAACCTGGTGCTCAAAGTGGGACAGGGACAAATACCTTTAAATTGTCTAACCCTCAGTGTTTTTTGGCTTTCACAGACAAGTAAGGAGACAATTTGGAAATATTTGATTGGAAAGGCTTTCTCTGCTTTAAAAATGTAGTCCAAGAAAGGGGCACTTCACGAGCTCTCTGTTGAGAGGCTTACCTAGAGTAGGGATTGTTGTCAGTCTCACCTGGAATAAGGTTTGTTGGGATCCCTTTGTGTAGTTTCTTACCCCTTAGGAGGCTGCTGGAATTTTGGGGAGCCCTAGAACTAAACTTAATTTCTGCAGAAATTTGTGTTTTGAAAATTTTAGTGCATCCTGGTTTCCCAGTTCAGCATCTGGAGTAATGTGGATTTTTATTCTGGCTTTTATTCTCTGTCGGGCTAGAGGAGTTTGGGCAAGAGACTCCTGAAGATGTTCACTGGATTGAGTCACAAGTCAGGCAATAGAGACTGGAAGAGGACTGGGAAAAAGCAGCAGGGAGAAAGAGAATGGGATGGAGAAGAGAGGAAAATACAGTTGTGTGTGAAGAACCATCCAGCAGAGCCTGCCAGGCAGCTCCCAGTGCTATCAGAGCGGTGCAGCTTTGGGGCAGGAGCTGATAACTTGTCCTGCAGCTGCATCAGAGTTCAGGGGAGGGAACACCAGGCTTGGGGTGGGTGAAATTGGGAGCAGCACAGGTACATTTGTGCCAAGCGTGACACTGCACCTTCAAATGCACCACTGGAGAAAGAATGGTGTCTGCCCAGATTGTAGAAATTGGAAGGGTTGGGAGAAAAACTTTTAGGTCTGTGTGGACAGGGGTGTTGTAGCAGTTAATGTTTAAAAAGTAAATCTGTCCCCACTTCCCAGGCCTGTATTTGCAGCTCTGTCAGTCTGCACAGACCTTTCTGCTTGTGCAGGTGCTTGTTAGGCTTCAGAAGGAATGGAAAGGATCACCTGAGGTCTCTGTGGAACTGAGGTTTGCTGCAGTACAGGCTGATGAATGACACATGCTCTGGAAAACTCAGGTGAAGCTGTGTTACACCCATCACCCCCTTTCAGACTGTTCTGTCTGCCTTTAAATTGGGACTGACACCGAGTTCTGCACATGCACTGGAAATCAACTGCTCCAGACCTGCTCTGAGGTGCAAGTTGAAATCCTGGGCTGTGCATTAACACGTCACATCTTTCTGCTTCACCTCTTGAGTGCTGAGATCTCAGAGCTGCTGCGTGATCTGGTTTTACAGAAGAAGCTTCCAGCAGTGTTTCCTGGAGCCCTAAACACTGATAGTGCTGGTTTGCATATGATTCAAATTTCACCAAGGCTTTGGAGTTGCCTTCTTGGCTTCTCTTTAAAGACAAGACAATTGAAACATCATAACTACTGTTAAAGTAAAAGATTTCTACAATGTTTTTATTGGGTTTTGGCTCTGTTGCTGCACTCTGAGAAAAATATCACAAATGCAATGAAAAACAAGGCAGAAGAGAATTGGCTTTTAAGGCTTTTCCTTGAATTAGCACTGCAAGTGGCCTCCTTCCAGGGAAAGTGTTGCAAGGGGAATAGCAGTAGGCATCTTATGAACAAAGGAAGGAAATGTTGGCTCAGCTGAGCTGGTGGTAACTGGTTTTAATGTTTCAAATCAGTAGTAAGTAGTTACAAAACAAATGAGAGTTTGCTGTTGAAACCTTTAAGGTGAAAGCTCAGTTTATTTTGGGCCTTGCTTAGGCTTGATCAAAGCTTCAGTGTGAGCATCAGCACCTTTGGCAATGATGGGTTTCATGGCATTTGAACTGCAGACTTGCACTTAATTGCATATTTGTGCTCTTCACCATTAGCAGCTCAAAATATGTTTGTGGGAACGAGCACATTGGACACTGAAGTTAATTAAACCCTGACTCCTAATTGCTCTATTCTGGCACTTTTTTCTTTAACTCATTTAATGGCACATGCTTGAAGAATTTGCCCAAGCTGAGTTTTTCACAGAATGTATATTTTTGATTTGTATTACTGTGATTTTCTCTTGTCCTTGGGATTTTTTTTCCAGTTACCAGGCTTTAAAACAGAAGTAGATCCTTGATACCCAACTCCTTTGCTTAGGAAATGTCACATTAAGCAGGTACAGAGGCAGTGGGGACTAATTGAGTGTTACAGCTCCAGCCCTTTGTTTCACCAGGTTTTGTTTGATCTTTAACTTGGGTTTTACGGTGTAGAAAAGGGATTGATTAAAAATTTGGCCGTGTCAAGGTGTCATGTGAATTGCTCCTTCAACAGCTCAGAGATAAGAGGCACCAGATAAGGGGAGGCTGAGCCTGTGCAGTGTCTTGTCTGTTATTACTCTGCCAGTCAGCACTTGGAGCAGCAGCTCATGTTTTAGCTCCTACTTTGCTAATAATCATAAGAAGAGTGTTTTTGTTTTGGAAACTTTTATTTTTAGAATTTTTTTACATACGTTCTCAATCTTGTTGCTCATTAATTTCGGTGGAGGCTTGTTTGACTTGCTGGGTTTTTAATCTTGGTCTCCCGTGTGTCTGCCAGGCTGTTTGTTCCAGGAAAATAGTGATCTGTGCCTTGAGGTACCGTTCTGCTACGTTTAAACTTTGCCTGGATGCTCTGGAGACCATATTGTCTGACTGGAAGTCTGCCTTTGTAGCTTGAATTTCTCCTAACTCTGGACTTTCTTTGAGTTGTAGAGGTTAAACTGGTGCAGTCTCGCTTGTGACTGTCATTCTAAAATGAGAAATGCAGAGTAGTGAAGGTTCCTGTGCCCCATGATACACTGGATTCTACTAGGAAGCTGAGCAGTGACTGTATACATCTTATTCAGACCTGTAGCATTTGGTAGATAGAGGAGTTTTTGTTTTGACTCGTTTTTCCCTCAGTTCATCTGTGTCATTACAATAACAGCACTGCTGGATGTTTATGTGGCTGTTTAAATAAGAAAATTAGTGGGTTGAGTAGATGAGTCTTGTTAAGCTGGTATTTTATTCACTGTATCCAAAATGGCACAGTTGTGTGGAGTTTGCCTGAAGGAATTTAATAGAAATGAAGGAAACAGTGCTGTGAAACACAGATTGTCTCCATTAGGCCTCCTAACTCATATTTATCTAATCTCAGTGGAGAAGAGTTCCCTCTACTCCCAGAGAGGTAGAAACAAAGTTCACAGTTTTTAAAGTGCCATGAGCAGCCTCCAACTTGCATTTACTGTAAAACGTCCAATCTGAGTGGGTCAGACTTGAAACACTGAATTAACAATGGTTGGGACAGGAACAGCTCTGGTTTGTCTGGGTTAAGGCAGAGTTAACTACAGGGTATTGAAAAGGTACATGCAGAGTTTCCAAATAAAAGAGCCTTAAAAATGTGCTTTTTAGCTACTCCTTAACTGTGGATTGTAGCACTGTGTTGCTGTGTAGTTTCAGAAGACATTTGAACATATATATAGTATATACTATAATACAGTATATTTTAGAAGTTGTTTGTCTCTGTGTGAAGAGATGTTTTCAAGTTGGAATAACTTAGAAATCTGTAGGTTATTTGGAGGATTTGGGGTTCCTTTGTGAAGCAAAATGGGGCTGTTAATAGTGAGAACATTACCGAGGTTTTACTATGAAAATGATCTTTGCAAGGTGGGAGATGTTTGATTAATTCTGTGAGAGGAACTCAAGAGTTCAGCTCTGCCTGAATTCAGCCATATAATATAAAAAACTCCACCTGAATTTGGATCCTATGTCTTTCAACTCCTCCTCTCTCCATATCTGTTGTAGTTCCTTCAGAAACAGGTAATTTTTGGCAACCACCGTGTCTCTGCACCTTGCCTTTCATAATGCTTTTGTTCCCATAATATATAACAGAAAGTTAATCTCTTTGTTTGTGCATGTGGGACTTGGCAGGATCATGTAGAGAATCTTGCAGTTAGTTGGTGATTTCTGTTGTCAGCCTGGGTTTTTAGCTCTTCTGGACAGTTGGAGTGATTGAAATTTGGGATCAGCACATAGGTAGGGCAGGGGCACCTTTTGTTTCATATAAGCTCATTAACAATGTTTAATTGCTTCCTCACAGTTCTTTGTGTATGGGTTGAGTGAGCATTTCATGGGATAGTGCTGGATGTTATTAGACAGGCTCAGCACAGTTAATTTTCATGCCAGATCATACCAATAAATGCAGAACTTCACTGTGAAATGGGGTAAAACAGGAATAATAAGCAGTGTCAGCAGCCTCTCTTTAGAACATCTTCAGTGATTGTGTAAAAGCTGTTACATCAGTGGCCAACTTCATATGTTGTGAATTCTTTTCATAAGAGCTTTAAAGTCCATTTTTCTTAGGAAGATTTTTAGATCTTGCCAAAAGTTAATTTAGGCCATGTTTTTCTGTATCTGGCACTGCCTGGTGGTTTGATTGCAGCTTTTCTAAGGGTCTGAAATGTTTGCTCCTTATTTTATCAGTAAAGGATAATAGGAAATTCTGGATTGAAGACTTACTTATATTAGGCTGATTTATTTATTTGAAAGCTTATACCAGGCTAATTTGATTTTTTGAAGTTCTGCTTAAGGATGGCAGCTCTGAGATGTAGTTGCTTACAAATATGAAAGCCTGACTTCCTTGGTGAGTGGCTTTAGATATTTTTATACAGCATTTTTAATATTCTGGTATTATTCCTTCTTAAGTCTGGCTTGAATGAAACATGAACAAGTAAAAAAATAGCTTGTGGTCTTTTTTTTTTTTCTTTATGTTTTCATAATTTTTTTAAACAATGGTGGAACCTTTCTGGTTATTTATTCTCGTATGTTGGTGGGAGCAAGAGGGAGAGAGTTCCTGAATATTTCTGTGGGATTTGGGTGAGCTGCTGCTTGGAAAAGCTTTGTCAGGAGGGAAGACACTTCTGTTCATGTCCCAGGGAATGTGTGTGTGCATGTTGGTGTGTTGAGGAGTTGTGGAAATAGAAAAATTCAGATATTTGAAGGGAAAATTGTAGTTTACCCATTCAGGGAATGGGATTGGGTTCATGCTTTTTTGATATTTGCACAGTGTTTTAGTGTGCAGTTGTGTGGGCTGGTTGGAAAATTATATTATACAAGCCTTGGGTTTTCTAGAAGAACAGGGATCCTCAGTCTTTTTTTCTCTTTTTTTCCCCAAATATTCATGTAGTTGGTGTAAAATATTTTGAAATAACTGAAAATAATTCTGTTCTTTGATATATTAGAAGTTAGTCTGGACTTCCATAGTTATTATAAATTTAAAGTAGGCACCTTTCTAATGTCCTGTTGAACACAGCAGCTGCAAGAGAAGGGGAGTGATGATTATTGAGCCTGTGATTGAGCTGCTTTTTGGTTGTTCCTCAGATAAAAACCAGGGTACTTTTCCAACTGATTTCACCCCCATCCCTCCCTGCTCTGTTGCAGATGCTTTTACTGATTCAGCCATCAGTGCTAAAGTTAATGGAGAACACAAGGAAAAGGATCTTGAACCATGGGATGGAGGAGAGAACACGGCTTCCGAGGAGCTCGAGGCACTGGAGACAGATGTGGTGAGTGTTGCTTTTTTGTGCTCTCTGAAAAGAAGCCTTGAAAGAATTCCTTAATTTTAATCTAGTAATGAACTTTGGAGTAAAATCGCTGTCCTGCACTGTGATGGTGGATGTTCAGGCTTTGCCAGCAGCTGCCACAGTACTTTTTACCAATTTGAATAAGAAAAGCTGGATTTCAAATGCCACTCGTGGCAAATATTGACAAATGGCAGCTGCTGTGGAGAGAGACATGTTGGGCTCAGGGACTGGCAGAAAGAGCAGCTTTTGTTAAGGCCTCCAAATTCAGCAATACAGCAAAGTGATTTATGTTTAATCAGAGCATCCCTGCCTGACTGTCAGTGCTTTTGGAAAGGATGGGGAGATTGTGCTCAGCTCAGTGTCCCTGGGCTTCACATGGGGAAATGGATGGAAGTCTGAACCCAAGCACAGATACAATTTTAGTAGATTATGAACCATTAGATGAGGAGTATGGTCTCCAGTGCCATTTCTTTATATATCATAGCCAGCTCTTACTCAAGAATGCATTATTTTAGCAAAGTATTCAGATTACAGCATATTAAACAATGTTATTGATTAGAGGAGAATCTACTCCTGTTACTGTGGAGCATATTTGAGTAGAACAGCTCTGTCAGTTTATTGGGATTTATTAGAACACTCAATACTGTCAGTGCTTTTATAAAATATTCAAAACATTTCTTGCTGTGCTTGGGTGCTGCAATAGCAATTTTACTGAGGGGGGGAGGTTGTGCAGATCAACAGGAGTCTTGAGCCTGTGCTGGGTCTCAGGTAATTACATTAATGCATTTGAAAAGTTGCAGCACTTGCCACAACAAGAGATGTTTCTAATAGTCAGAAGTGTCAATTTGCACCTTTTGGAAAAGGCAAAAAGACATTAATGTGTGCATTTCTTGCTAGCCAGTATTACTCTAGTATAGAGTGGGTATGTATTTAGAAAAAACCCTCAAAACCCACACAAATACACCCAAAAACTGGCTTTTGAAGGTAAAATCTGCATCTTATGAGCAAATTTCCCCGAAGCAAATTGTGGCTTTATAACTTTGTTATCTGGACAGTGAATTCATAGGCCCAGGAAAGAGGCAGAAGGTTTAACTTCTGCCATCAGCCCTTAATTTTAAGGGAATGTGTTTCCAGTGTCATTTTGAAAAACAAGCATCATTTTCTTCTAGTCTAATGGATGGGATCCCAATGACATGTTTCGTTACAATGAAGAAAATTATGGTGTAGTATCAACTTATGACAGCAGTTTATCTTCTTATACGTAAGTTCCAAAATATTTTGTTATTAGATTTGTATTTAATGTTCTCCCTGGTTTGACAAACTTTACATTCTGCAGCTAATTTTGCATAGTTTGTGAAGCTGTGGACTCAAATAACTGAAAAAGCAATGAATGAATAGTGCTTAAGAAACCTTGCCAGCGTTCTGTGAATAGTTTGATGTAGAAATCTTTATATATTCCCTTAAATGGGCACAGCTCATTCCCATTGCAACATTTGCTGAATTTAGGCATGTAATAATGCTTATTTATTCCAGGAATAGGGTGGAAAACTGGGAGTTTGTCTTTATGTAGCTGCTGTACCTATAGATTTTGTTTAACCCAGCAGAGCAGTTTGACTAAATCCTAATTTTATTGAGACAATTGATCTGGAAGATACTGGAATGTGGAAAAGTTGCTGATAACCAAAGGGGGGGTTGTGTACTGGGGATGACTTGTTTAGCAGACTTGTCCAGCTCTAAACCAAAGTTTTACTTGCAATATAATAACTGGAATATAAATATAAATGACAATCCTGATATATAATATAAATTATAAAGTTTATATATAAATAATAATATAAAAACTGTGATATAGAAGTAGTGTAAAGCCTGCTCTGGCTGCTCTGGCAGTGTGGATTTATTCCCAATAGTCTGCAGCTATAATGTTCACTGCAACTGCAACACAAATGGACTGCAGATGTTCAGCAGCCATTGTGAAATGTCTTTAGTGTTTCCCCACTCTTTTAACCCCCAGAGCAGAAACTTCTTTTTGAATATCAAGGAATGGCAGTGGATATTTTGATTTTTTGGTGTGCACTTTGTCTACAGGTTCAGCAGTTTGATTTTCCTGTTTGGTTCAAACAGACCTGTAACATGGTGATAATCAAAGTGTCCTAATCGGCTTATGTCTGAATCCTGGGGAAGCTGTTCTTTCCTTCCCTTCACTGCTCTAAGTACTTTTTGTACTTTTGAACTTTAGTCTTCCATCTTTCTGCTCTCTGGATATTAATGGAAACAGATTAAAAACATGAAGGTGGCTTTAAATTAATTCCATTTTTTTTTCCTAGTCAAGCAACTTGCAACTGGGAGGCTCTTTTCCTGATTTTCCAACTCTGTGATGAGCAGCAGTGTTGATAAATGCTTAGATGTGCAGCTGTAGGATTGTAAAGGATTTATTGTTTGATTGTTTTCTCTTGCTAGAGCTAAGCATTAGCAGGTATAGTTTGTCAAAGTGCATCAAGGTACAAGTTTGGGTCCAGTAAATGTATTAATCAGCTGCTTCTGTCATCACCAGGGTTCTGAACAATGTCATCTTGTGCATCCCCTTTCTCTCATCTCTTAGAAAACACAAAATCAATCTTTGCCTGTTAGGTTGCAATATATCCCTTCCTTTTCTTCAGTCACTTTAGATAAATGAGGATTATTGGGTGTTCTCCTTCCTTATGTTCCCAACACAAGGTCAGTGAGGCTCATGACCAGGTTTGTGTTCGTGCAAACCTTATTTGAGCCAAGGCTTTATGCTGAAGGGCGAGGTTTTGATTTAATATTCTTGCAGTTCCCATTGATAAGGTCAGTAGATGTCTTGACTGGCCAAAAATACGTGTGTGGGGAAAAAACTTGCGATGCAGTGGCCGAGTGCTGGCTTGGAATTTGGCAAAGCCACTTGTTTTCCTAGTTCTGCCACCAACACTTGAGTAGTTTTGCATATATTATTACATATTTGGCTTGTATCTCCACTTACTTTCTTTGGTTTTCTTTTGTATATGATTCAAAATATGAGGAGTAGTGGTTATATAATGCCCAGCAGAGCATGGGCCAAACCTCAGCTGTGGTCTGTGTTTTTATGGAGTTTATTCTAAAGTAAGGTTGGATGGAACAACTTTTGCAGCTCAAAATCGGGGGAAAAAGTGGTTTTGTAAAACCTGACACTTGAACAAAAATTAGAACAGGTAAAAAACAAGAAGGGTGGACAGAAGGAGGTGCCAGGTACAATCCCATCTCTAGTTATGTCTTTCAGTGCTCATGTATTGAATTTTGACTCAGTGCCTTTCCCAAGGGATGCTTTCTGCAATATGCCATTACCTGCTATAGAGGGATATATGGAATGAGTGGGTTTGAGGTCCTGGGACATCAGAAGTCATGGACTTCTGGTCCTGTGCTTTCAACTGTTGCACTCATCTTTTCTGCAGTTATTCATAACAGGAAGAGCTGAAAATTCTATGGGTGGAATTACCAAAGGATTAAGGATGTAACTCTCTAATTTCAGTAGGATTGTGTCTGCTGGCAATGTATAAATAGCTAAAAAAATTCAAATTTGGGCTCTTGGAGTAACTTCCTATCCAGACAACAGACTGATGCTTTTTATTCCTGATGTTCTCAACCATGTTAAAAGTTGGAGCCTTTGCACAGCTTTAGAGACTGGGGCTTTTGCAAGTCATGTGGAAAAGTTCTGCTTTCTGACCTCAGCTCTCTGGGCAGGTAAAAGACACTGAATTTGCACATAATATCAAACCAGTCCAGGAATATTGTCACACTAAAAAAGACAGCAAGTCTGCTGGCTTAAAAGCAAGGGTTTTTTCACTCTTGACTTGTTTAGAACTAACACTGTGTAATTTTTGTAGCTCCTTTGTGCTTTTGAATGCATTTCAGAGATTCTTTTCCTTTCCATTGTCTTTTAGGGTGCCATTAGAAAGAGATAATTCAGAAGAGTTTTTAAAACGGGAAGCCAGAGCAACTCAATTAGCAGAGGAAATTGAATCAAGTGCCCAATACAAAGCTCGGGTTGCCTTGGAAAATGATGAAAGGACAGAAGAAGAAAAATATACTGCTGTTCAGAGAAATGCTAATGAAAGAGAAGGACATGGTGTGAACACTAGGTACTTGATACACTATGAATAGTATTTTTATTTAAATTATGGCGGTGTTTTGGGACTGTAGCAGTTTGCTCATTGAAACTGAGCTTTTCCAGCAGGGCTGATCAGGTTGGGAACCTTGTGTAAACAATCCTGTGCTGGTTTTGGCACCCAGGCTGACTTGTACACCTCTGCCTGGCCCTGCATTATCTCTGTAGGGAACAGACTTCCCCATTCTGATCTGTCACCATGGTGAATTCGTACCAGATTACAGGAAAGGGCAGTGGTTTGGGTATGTCATGGAGAATTTCAGGCATTACAACTGAATCCTTCAGTGTCTGGGGGCTCATAAAGTGGACTGTGTGGTCACTATCAAAAGCCAATTCATGAGGTGACTGTTAGGTCAACATCTGATAGTATTTAATATTTTCCTTTAGCTTGATCTGAGAAAGATTAAAAAATACCAGCAGAGCACTCCATCAGGTATTTTTGGTGCCTCTCAGTTCTGTCTTAAGACTGATAGGAGTTTGCTGTGTTTCAGAGAAAATAAATACATTCCACCTGGACAGAGGAACAGAGATGTCCTGTCCTGGGGAAGTGGAAGACAAAACTCACCAAGGATGGGCCAGTCTGGCTCAGGCCCACCAATCTCAAGGTCTGGATCCCACACTTCAGAATTCAGCCCAAACTCTGGAGCAGATCAAAGAGTAGTTAACGGAGGCAAGTATCTGAAGTCTAAATGAATGTACATTTTTAACATTGCAGAGAATTGCCTAATTATGTTGCAACTGCACATGGAGTGAGTTTAGGATGTGTATTCCACAAGCTAGGGTAGCATCCATCATTTAACACAGAGGTGGTGAGTTGGACTTGGGTTTAACTTAGAGTGGAACTGCATTTAGCTGCACTGTACTTTGCAGAGCAGAAATGTCATTTGTTTTCCTTCTCAGACACCTCTGTCTTAGATGATGGTGCAGAGTGTGGTTTTAAAGATTAAAAATTCCTTTCTGTGTTCCACTGCAGAGCTCTGTGTGGAGGAGCAGCAGTGCTGACACCCAGTGAAAGGGGGGTGGCAGGAGGAAGCTTCCCTTCCTGTCTGGTGCATGGATCAGTTTTGTTTCCCATGGAAAAGAATAAAGCAAGTTGCTGACTTTATGATGGTGTGGGATGGGAAACAAGAGAAGTGTTAGGAAAAGGAATCCAAAGCCTTCCCTCCAAATGGGTATTTGAGTATTTTCTGCTGTACACATGGGTAGTAACTAATCAGACATCACTGGGCACTGCGTAGCAGGAGTTGATGTTCCATAAACCAAAGCCACCATTTTTGAGGTGGCTTTCAGCAGTAGCCTGTCCTTGAGGCATTATTCTTAAAAGTTAAAAATGCCGTTCTGTGAAATTGCTGTGAATAAGTGAAAAATGTATAATACTCAAGTGATCTATCTGGAGAGGAAGTCTGAGAAACATCTAAAGGTAAGTGAGACTTTCTTTTTAAAGACAGAGTCAGCTGTATAAGGGATGGACAACTGAGCCTTGCCCAAACAATGCTAACCTTGAAATTTTTCTGTAGTATTTGTGGTTTCTGTCATCCTGTTACTCTACTGAATTAACATCATATACCTAAAATATTCAGAATGGCTTGTAAATTCAATTAATTCTGTTTTGGAAACCATGAACCCTGTATATGAAACCATGAACCCTTAGATTAAAATCCTCCATTAATACTTGAGATAACTGATAAAGGCATAAATGTCAGGATTCAGACACTGAACACCGCTGTTTTTTGTAAAGATACAGTTCCTAGCTGGATATTGCTCATCATTTGGTTTGCAAGTAGCACTTTGTGTAGTTATGCTGTTTGTGACCAGCTGTTTGAGACCCTCTGGTAGCTGTTAAGGACCTTGGTGAGTGCTGGGTGCTGTAGAGCATTGATATGCCAGGCTAACAGATCAAACTTTACTGTCTATTCCTTAGTAGTATTTGTAGATCCTAATTAACCCTTTGGGGAGCTCGTGCCGTTCCGACCCCAAATTCGACCCGAAGTGGTGGAAACAACCCCGCAGAGCCTCTTGCCAAACTCAATCCCCAAAGGGTTAAACGTGCAAAATCATTTTGTCATATTTTTACTTTTTTTTTTTTTTCTGTTGGACCTTTCCCCCCCTTCCCCTTCCCTCCCCCAAACCCCTAAACCCCCCCTTCCCAACTCCTCCCCCCCCCCCCCCACCCAAGACCCCCCAACCCCCCATAATTTTTTTTTCTTTAGTTTTTATACTTTCCTTCATATCATTTGTTCTGTCAGGTGTTCCCTGGCCATCGCCTTGCCCATCTCCTTCCTCTCGCCCACCTTCTCGCTACCAGTCAGGTCCCAACTCTCTTCCACCTCGGGCAGCCACCCCTACACGGCCGCCCTCCAGGCCCCCCTCGCGGCCCTCCAGGCCCCCGTCTCACCCCTCTGCTCATGGTTCTCCAGCTCCTGTCTCTACTATGCCTAAACGCATGTCTTCAGAAGGTACAATACCACAATTTGTTCATGGGGTGTTTTTTTTTTTTCTTTTTGGTTTTTTTTTTTTTCTCGTTTGTCTTCGTTTATAACTCCTCCGTGAGTTTTAATTGACAAAATTTGTGGTTTTTTTATTTTTATTTTGGTTTTATTTTTTTTTTGTTTCCTCTTCATTACTTAACCTATAATTTGTGTTTTAACTTTAGTTGATCAGACTTGTTTCTATTAACCTTTTTTGGTTTTTTTTTTGTTTGTTTCGTTTGTGTTAATTTGAAGAGCTTTACAAAAACAAAACAAAAAAAAAGAAAAGAAAGCTGTGAAATTTCCCAAGTTGGTATGAAATTAAACTCAGCTTTGGAAACGCTGCTCAGTGTCTTAACTTAACCTACAGCAACATGCAGGACCTGATAACTTTAGAGAGCATTTCTAGGACTAAAATTTAGGATATATTTAGAAATATATATTTAGAAGTTTCCATTTGGAAATTTACATTTAGAAATTTCCATTTGGAAATTTTCATGTAGGAATTTACATTTAGAAATTTAAAATTTAGAAATTTAAAATTTAGGAATAAATTTAGGACTACTTTTATTCTTATTTTCTGACTATAAATTTATATAAAATATCAATTTTAATACAGCTGTTCCACAAAAAGCAGTTTCAAATTTAACTAAAATCACTGATTTACCAACAATAATAATGAGTATGTAATAATAATGAAGCATGTAAAACAGCCAGCAGTAATAATGATAAGAAAAATTCTGGATTCAGAGAAGTACACTGTGGAATGGGATAGGATAAGCTGCTTCAAAGGTGAATTTGTAGGGAATTTTTAGGTCTGTTTACACCGATCAGAACAATAAATCAACTCCTTAGCAGTCAATAATACACAGAGAAGGGCTGACCTGTGAGTCTGTGGTAACTGTGTGCAGAATTATCTGAACTAAATCTGTCCTGTCAAGGTACAATAATGATCCCGTTTTACAATTTTTATTTAAGTGCAGTTAAATAAACCCTGCACAGCATTGTTTAGCAAGCCTGGAAAATGCAAACTGGTTCTGTGAGAGAACAGTCATCCCACTGACTGAAGCAGTAACACTGTTCTGCAGCCTGATAAATGCTCAGGGTGGTCCATGACCAAAAAGTGGATGATGGTCACGTGTCTGGCCTCCTGTTGTCCATTTGTTACGGCTTTTTATATAGTCAGATACTGAGAATCCACCTGCAAACTCAATTATTTTCTTAGCCCCTGTGGTTGATTTGTCAGGCCTGCACTGAACTGCTGCTTACTGCAATGTTTAATTCCTGCTGCCAGGAGATTATTGCTGGGAAATGTGTATTCTTTAAAATCCTCACCTGTATATAATTTGGATTGAAGTGTACTTGAGATTCATGGGTAAAATAGAGGCTGATGTTTAAAGATTATGTAACCAGAGAGATGCTTCATATTGTAGAACCTTATCTGAAACCAAAAAGCCATTATCTGAACTTTTCCCTATTATTGACCTACATTAAAAATGAAAAAAAAAAATAAAAATCAGCCGTATCATGTTTTGTTCACAAAGTTTTTCCTTTTCAAGTATCAACATTTGAGTCTGATCTGGTAAAGAAAACGTTTGTTAGGATGTAAAAACCGTATTGCTGCTTAGAGTTGAGCTTAACTATTGTGTGGCAGCTGCAGAAGCTGTTCAGAATTCCTGTACTCTCCTGTGGCTTTGGCTCCTGGTGTTAAACATGCATGACTTGAACCTTGGGACAACAATCACTTGCTCAGTTGCAGTTTTGCTGACTGGTGAATGAATTGTGGCAGTGGCTGCAGCCGCTGAGCCTCGGTGCAGAATGCCCTGCTCAAATTGCCCCGGAGCATCGCTCAGCCCGCGGGGACTGGAAATGGTTGGGATCACTGCCCACCTGACAAAAACACTGGAAATTTTTCATTGGAATTGTGCTTGTCCAGGGCGAGCTGGGCCACCAACCCTTATGGCTTGTCTTGCACTAAGCACTGCTGGGTGCTTGGATTCAAATATTTGAAATGCAGGACTGGCACACCTGTTTCGAGGCTGATAAAGCTTCTAAATATCCATTTAGAGCTGGCCTAGCCAGGTGATGAGTGTTGGCAGCCTGGCTGGACCAATGGCTTGGCTTTTTTAGTCTGGTGGATCCCTGGTTCCAGTCGATGTCAGTGTAAATTGCTTGACTTTATTACTGAATTACTGAGAGTTATGAGATGAAATCCAGGTTTGAAAACCACATTGTATGTTTTTGAGAGTTGTGAGATGAAATCCAGTTTTTAAAGCAAGATAGTATGTTTGGATACTCCCAGTGCCGGGCTTCACTTACTGTGTGGGTTGTTTTTCTTTCCCCAGGGCCTCCACGGATGTCTCCTAAGGCTCAACGGCACCCTCGAGGTCACAGAGTCTCTACTGGTAGGGGTACAATTTCAAGTGGCTTAGAATTTGTATCTCATAATGCACCTGGGGAAGCATCTACTGCTGCAGTGGCACGAGGCAGCCCTTCAGGTGGGACGTGGTCATCAGTTGTCAGTGGGGGTAGGTAAAGCTTGGCTTATTGCAGATGGCTTGCAGGGGGACCTTAGAGTGGGAATGCTCAGCAGAATCCTGCCTTTCCAGACAATTCAGGCTCTGAATAACCAAATCCTGGGCTAACTTAGCTTAGATGAAAGTGGGAGAGGGATGTTCCCAGTAAAAGAGTTGGTGAGTTGGTCCTTCAAGTGCAGGATTGTCCTAATTGCAGGGCCAGGTGGTGTGTGAAGAGAAAGGGAGGAAAAATGTGGGAATTAGTTGTTGAAAGGATTAATTCTGAGGAGGAATTAATACTGGAGGAGGCAGGAGAAGTTAGATACATTGCATGGCATCACTGAGTTTGGTCAGTGGCAGTGTGGCTGGGCTGTGGTTTTTTGAAGGAGGTGTTTGCATAGAGGAAGGCTGGTGTTAAAATGATGCTCAAGTTAAGTTGGATATATTTTTCCTTTAGAAATTACATGGATTTTAAGTGGTGATGTTGTTCTTGTCTACTGTAGGAGCAGCTGTAGTCAGTGTCTCCTTTTTTGAATCAGTTAATGGGGTTTTTTTGAATATTTGACTTTTCAAGCTCAGTCTTCTGACACAGGCTCTAGTCCAGAGCTTTTAGGTTGAGGCCATGTTCTAGTGGGCTGTGAGCAGCTGGGTGTTTCCTTGGGCAGGTGAGAGACAATTTGGTCCTTTTTAGATCCTTTTTGGGTACTTCTTAGCAGTGCAGAATTCTAGGGGAGTGTAGTGGGAATGCATTTTTCAGAAGGAAGGTATGAATTAGACCCACGTAGACCTGTTGCCTTGTGGAAAAGATTTTAACTCTTGTGTTCTGGCATTATTTCTGATTCATCTTTGCTCCCCACACCCCACTTTATATATTATTAACATGCAAGTAGGACTGTTAAACCACTTACCTCTCTTTTTCCTCACTCACTGGGGGTTAATATGTGACATAAAGCGCTAACTTGCCACAGTGGGGTGAGCAGGAAGCAGGAGGTTTAAACAACTTGTTTAAATTTCTTATTTAAAGAATATACAGCTTTCCTTGCTGCTTTAACACAGGGGCAAAAATATACATCAACTATTCCTTTTTTTCAATAGGCTGTGTTGTTTTTTTTCCAGCTGGCAAACCTCCAAAAGAGGACGCCGGAAAATGGAGGGGTTTTTTCAGCCCTTTTAAAAAAATGTTTTACATCTGGTTGTGTGGAGACCTGCCCACCTTTTGTGTTCTGCCTGAAACTGTGTTAATGTGAGCTCTTGTAGTTGTACTTCTGGGGGGGGCTGGGGAGCATTTTGCAGCTTCACAGTGGGACTGAGAGGGCAGTGATGTGTATTAGGGGCCAATCTGCAGAGAAATCACCCCACTTATCTGAAATTCTGCGTTGTAAAGAACTAGGAGATGTACCTGAAAGGTAAACAGGTTTTCAGTTACTCTAAAAAGTATTTTAAAGCATGTTTTTAGCCATTTTAGAAACTGTTGAGCAGCTGAGGAAGCTCATCCTATAACTATTCTTTCCTGTTTGTTTCTAGTTCCGAGATTATCCCCTAAAACACACAGGCCTAGGTCTCCAAGGCAGAGCAGCACTCCCATGGGACCAGCTCTGCCTTCTCCTCAGCCTGGTACTATTCCCACTGAATCTGTTGCCATGCCTGTTCCAGCTGCCTCTCCTACACCTGCCAGCCCTGCATCCAACAGAGCAGTCACCCCTTCCAACGAAGGTAGGTTGCAAATTCTCCCTTTCCCTAATCCCTGACAAGGAATTTGCCTTGAAAGAACAAAACTCCTTTCTAAATCATGGAAATTCTTGGGATGCATTTAATTTTACTGTGAGTTCCCTTTTTGTCATGGTGCCAGCTTGAAACTAAGCTTGGAGAGAGGCTTTTTGTTGAGTCTGTGCTTAATTTCTTGTGCCCTTTAAGGAGGATGGGCTTACAGGTGTCTGACTTAATTGAGAATTTCTTTTTTCAAACTGAGTTCTTGGCTCTTTTCTAATTTAAAGAATCATAGGCCACTGGTTTCAGAGAGTATTTTGAACATAGCAAAAATAAGGGGATAAAACCAGCATTCAAGGACACAGTCAAATGTGTAAGAACTCTCAAATGGTTGTTGAATTCTGTCTGAAGAGCTTGGACTTGAAAATAATTTACTCTTGGTTTATAGTTTGTTCAGCCTAATCAAGGTTTGGTGTATGATGAGAGGGATGAGTTTAGCTGGGACTTTATAATCTGACTTAAAGACAGTAGGGTGAGGAAGGGGGAAGGATGATCCTCCAGGCACCAACTAGGTAGCAGAAAATGTGTTAACTTCAAAGATTTTTGGTTTTTAAGCTAAAATCAAGCTTAATCTCTCTCTCGTTTTTATCTTATCATCTCTCTTTGGTCATTTTGAGTTGTATAAAAGACAATAACTTGGACCATTTCTTTTCCAGCTAAAGATACCAGGCTTCAGGACCAGAGGCAAAATTCTGCAACTGGAAACAAGGAGAATATAAAGCCAAGTGAGACTTCTCCTAGTTTTCCTAAACCTGAAAACAAAGGTTTGTATCCAAAGCTTTTGGTTGTACTTGAGTGCTGTAGGAATTCTGCACACTAAGCCTGCTGTACTGGCTGCTTTAGTTGGCATTTTTAGGAAGACTTGGAAACAATCTGGTGCTCTACAGCAAAAATTTGGTCGTGCAGTTGTCAAGTGGCAGGACTACAGTTTTAAAGGTTGTTTGTGACTCATTCCATCAGCACAAAGTGTAGAGATGCTCATGTGGATGGTGTGATTTCCCTTGGTTTTTTCTTTTTTTTTTCTTTTCTCTCTTTTCCCAGCTCACAGAGCTGGTTTTTAGCTGCCTTTGGACTGAATATGTGTTTCTACTCAGAGCTGTGCTCACAAGAATTGTGAGCATCATGACCAGCACAGTTTTTCTGACTGTGCATCTTCCTGTTATGCCTTAGATTTGTTTTTTAATGCAACACTGCTTGTTCACTGTTCTCAAAAAAATCTTTTCACATTCTTGAACTTGGAATTGTGGATTGATTCAGGTTGGAAAGACCTTTAGGATGGAGTCCAGCCATAAAGCTCACCTTGAGCAGTGTTTCTCCTTTACTTGCTGTGTTTTGAAACACTGGCAGTGTGTGTTTGGGGGTTTTTGTTTCATTTTGCTTTGTGTTCAGTGAGTTCTGCAGTCCCTGCACCTCAGGGCTTCTGCCTTGGTGTGGTGCATTAGAACTAAAGATAAGTCAGTTATGTAATGCTGTGGTTTCAGGGTGTTTCTGTCTGCTCATGGAATTGTACCAAATTACAAATGCACTTATATCACTGTTTTTCATTTCTATATATGCAAACATTACCTTTCTGCAAACTTAGTAATGTGTAGGGGTTATATATATATGTATATATGTATATTTATATTTCTTGTATTAGAAATGCCTGGACAATGTTGGTCTTATATTTGGCAGGTGTCTCTCCAATTGTTTCAGAGCATAGAAAACAGATTGATGATTTAAAGAAATTTAAGAATGACTTTAGGGTAAGTTTCTCTATGTTGATTGTGTCATAATTCTCATGTGCATCCAGATTATTTTAATGAATTGAATACACTACATATGTTAACATGTCTCTATACTTGTGCTTAATTTATGAAAATATCTGTAAGAATTCATGCCAGATATTGGAAAATCAATGCTGACTCTTGCTAGTACAATTGCCTAATACCCATAAATGTGAATATTGGCTGTACACTGAAAATAGGACTTGAAACCTGTTTGATCATTAGGTACAAATAATTATCACACACTCCATATGGAGGAGCTGTTGCAAAATTAAATGAAGAGTTTTGCTGAGGAAAATTGAAGATGAATTCATATTACTTATTTCCTAGCCATAATGGTTTATTAAATCAGGTTAACTTTTCAAGTGTTACTGTTAAATCACAGCACAGATGAGTCCGGAGGGTTGTCCTAAGCTTTCCTGTCACTCCCTAATCAACATGTGGGTCAGTTGAATGGCTGAACAGCTTCTTTCTCAGTGCATGCTTAAACATTGTCAATGTTCATGGATTTCTTTCCTAGTAGAAATGGAAATGTATGTTTTAAAAGGTCATTTCCAGATGGTTGAGGCCTGTGGGACTGTATTTTACTCTGTGTATGTGACAGCATTAGATTGTCTCTCCACAGTTCTGTATATCAATTTACTGAATATATTCCTTGGGTTTTTTTCAGTTACAGTCAAGTTCCTCTTCAGATGCAGTGGATCAGCTGCTAAACAAAACCCGAGAGGGGGAAAAATCAAGAGATGTAGTTAAAGAAAAGACAGAATCCACCCCTAAAGAATCTATCATAGAACCTGGCAGTAACACCAACTCCAATGGTGGCAGTAGCAAACCCAATAGTCCCAGTATTTCTCCTTCCATAAGTAACAGCTCTGAGCAAAAGCGAGGGCCTGAGGTGACTTCCCAAGGTGTGCAGACATCTGGGCCTGGGAGTAAACAAGATAAAGAGGATAAAGAGGAGAAGAAGGATACCTCTGAGTGAGTAATTATGCTTTTTAGAATAAGCACAATGTTATTAGCATTTAGCCTTGTGTAGAAAAAGCTGGTGTGAATGCGTAATATGTTGTCTAAAAGCTTATTTAAATTTTTCCTGGCTCACATGAGCTTTAGCATCAACAACAGGAAAAATTTATAAATAAGTGTAGTAAGAGTCCTGTCAGTAAGAGTGGTTTTTTGCATGTCATGTGGTGTTTGAGTTCTCAGAAATCTGACTCACAGATGGAAATGAGGTATTTCTTACATTATTAATTGCAGATATGCTCATAAAGGAATAATGCCAAACTTAATGTTTTGTTTTTTATGTTTAGGCAAGTTAGAAAATCAACACTTAATCCTAATGCTAAAGAGTTCAACCCTCGATCTTTTGCTCAGGTAAGTTGTTTGATGCTGTTTGATGCTGCCTTTGAGTAGATCCTGATAAGCAGAGCTTTTCCTTGGAGGATACTCAGACTAATCTTGCCCTGTGCTTTGCTCAACTCTGTTTGTAGCCAAAACCTTCTACTACACCAACCTCCCCTCGTCCACAAGCTCAGCCCAGCCCCTCCATGGTGGGTCATCAGCAGCCAACCCCTGTGTACACTCAGCCTGTTTGTTTTGCACCAAATATGATGTACCCGGTTCCAGTGAGTCCAGGCGTGCAGGTAAAGTGCTGCAAACTCCTCCACACTTCACAGGAATTGCCAGGAAGTTGAGAAGACTTGGGAATCATAGAATGGTTTGGGCTGGGAGGGACCTGAAATATCATCTAGTTCCAACTGAGGAGCTCTGAGTTAAAACAGTGAAGTGGTACAGCTTGTATTACTCTTGTAAACATAAATGAGATTGTTGTTAAGTTTTAGCTGTGTAAATACTGACTTTTCCCAGTGCTCCCTCAGTCAGGATGTTCAAATAGTCTCAAACACTTCTGAATTCCAGCAGCTCCCATTTGGTGTTAATCTCTAAGCACAGTCTCACTCTCTCTAAGCTTTAAGCAACTGTTTCATTGTCCTCAGCTTCCAACTGAGTCCCCACTAGTTTCTGGTTGTTGTGGGGATCACTGGGATTTCAAATCTAGCTCTGTTATCATAGAATATCCTGAGTTGGAAGAGACCCAGAGGGATCATCCAGTCCAACTCCTGCCCTGCCCAGGACACCCCAACAATCCCACCCTGTCCCTGACAGCGTTGTCCAAAAGCTCCTGGAGCTCTGGCAGCTTTGGGACTGTGACCATTCCTTGGGGAGTCTTTTCAGTGCCCCACCACCCCCTGGGGGAAGAACCTTTTCCTGAGATCCAACCTAAACCTCCCTGACAGAGCTTTTTAAAAAAAAGCTGTTACAAAGCTGTTTGATTTAGTCCACTGCTTGCAGTAGTAGTGTTACTTGCCTGGTTGTTGCAAACCATATGGTCTGCATTGTTTGTCCGTGCAGACTTACTGACAGGGGTCCAGGAAAACCTCACAGGTTAGGCAGAGTTCACTAAACCATGTAACAAAATAGAGTAAAACACATCAAAGCTGAGTGGGGCCCCCACCCCAACACACATTGGCTTTTTAAAGGAATATCATAATTTCAATTTCTTGTGTTTCAGCCTTTGTATCCTATTCCCATGACGCCCATGCCAGTGAACCAAGCCAAGACATATAGAGCAGGTAAAGGTGAGAATAATACTGCCTGTTTGGTTCTCAGTCTGCATGCAGCATGGAGAGATTAGAGCTGTTTGTGTGCTTTCTAATCCATGTTAATTTGTTTTCCATTGATATTTTAAATGCTATTTTTAATGAAGGGAAGTAAGTGGAAATACTAATGGATTTTTAGATAAACTGATTCAGCCAAAACAGGCTAAGTTTGAGTTATGGGGAGTTGCTTGGTTTGGAATCTGATTTGACAAGCAGGAAAACGTCTCTGTTACTTGGAGCATTAGGGTAAGCTGATCATCTCCTATATTTCATAAATATTATAGGTTTGTTTAAAGGGAACTTCTATACTGATTTACAGCACTGAATGGTGCTTTAATAGAGGGGTTTTGTCAGCAAGCAAAGTCAGTCTTTCTTCAGGAAGAGTGTGCTCTGCTGCTCTTCTGGAAAAAACTCACTGCTGGTTCCAGTTTTTTCCTCTGCGTTCCTTCTACCCCAGTAATGAACAGCTGGACCAACAATACCATGTTTTTAACAAGTGACACCCATGGCTGTGGAGACAGAACATGTGGGAGATGCTCCCTGTGCAGTGCAGAGAAGGAACAGAAGAGTATTTTTCTAGTCCTGTTTCAGGAAAGGCTCTAACTCTGCACAGTTCATTCCTTCTTGCAGTGTTAGCCAGTGCTTCCTGAGCACGGGATCCAGTGCTGCAGCTCCAGTCACTGGAGGGGGAGATTGTTTCCAAGAGCAATCCTGCTGTTCAGAAGCAAACAAGTGGCCTTTATGAATGTAGGGAAGACAAACCCCTGCAATGTATTTCTGTGTTAAAACACAGTAACTTCACTGTGAAATCTTTTCATTGGTAGCACTGTTTTAATCAGAAGTACATTGCTGAGTACTCATTTGCTGTGTGAGGCAGCTCCAATTCTGAATTCCTTTTTAAAGCTCCAGTATTTTCTGCATATCCATCTGTGTGCAGCATAGCCCTGAGGGAGCTGCCTGGGTTACAGCTCAGTGCCTTTATGCTGTTCAAGTTGCCTCCTGTATTTACTTCTTTCTATTGTTGATTTGCAGAGTAAATACAACCATCAGTGAGTGAATTTACTGACATCTCCTTTCCTCTCCCTAAGGGGTCTGGCTACATTGCCCACTGCAGTGGAGTTTACAGGTGCTTGGGGTAGTTTAGTTAGTAGTTGCAGCCTGACTGCAGGAGGCTGGAGCTCTCCTGGAGCTCACCTGGAGCTCTCAAGCCCAGTGCTTTGTAGGCTAAATTAGTTTTTTCCAAGCTCCTCACTGCTGTGGGTTGGGTGGTCACTTACCAGGATGGTTCAGGCAGTCCCACACTACACTGCTATGCTTGTTTCATCTTTTCTTCCCTCTTAATTATTCCTGCTCCTCTTCTTATAGGTTGTCTTGTCCCCTTCAGTGTTGTCTGTGACCTAAAAGTTGCTTTCTGCTGTCCTGAGGGGTAGCATAGAGCTCAAAAGATGTGAATACCTCAAATTGTGCTTGCACGGAGACCTTTATTTTGCTCTCCTCAGCCATAAACATGAGTGACTTTAACAGACTCACATTTCCAGTTGATGGAACAGTGACTGAGTAGTTCCCATAGAGGGTGAATTAAGCCTTTTGAAGGGGACAGGATCAAATTTATTAATGTAGGTATCCTGATATAACCTTTCTCTTCCATTACTGATTCTTGTGAGTCTTTCTGTCCGTCCACCTTTCTTTCCTCCTTCCTTCACAATAAAAGCAGGGCTGGGTTTGTGGCCTGATATATGGCCCAAAGGCAGTGATAAAAAACTCTTTTTCATGCTGTTCCTTTTTGCTAGAGCCCTAATAGATGGTTAAAGATGAGGGGTGAGGATATTCCACGTGGTCACAGTGACATTATAGTGTAAAACCTTTCAGGAAGATGATCATTCTTCATCCTCTGTTTCTAATGTGAGGAACTCTTTGCTTTTTAGTACCAAATATGCCCCAGCAGCGGCAAGACCAACACCACCAGAGCACCATGATGCATCCTGCCTCTGCAGCAGGCCCTCCAATTGTAGCTACTCCACCTGCTTACTCAACACAATATGTTGCATATAGTCCCCAACAGTTTCCTAATCAGCCTCTTGTGCAGCATGTGCCACACTACCAATCTCAGGTAAGAGTCTTTTCATGGACCTCATCCATAAAACCAGAAATAATGAAGTGGCTCGGACCTAAATAACCCTTTATGTCCTGTCAAAAGTCACTCTGAACAGTTTCTGGGTTCTGGAGCACACTTGGGGGGGCTTGTAGAGTGCTTCAATTTTAAGGTCAGAACAACTTCTAAGGTCATAAGAAATTCTCAGGACAACTTAGAAGTTGACATTTATTATTGATGCAACTTTCTAGCTCTTTGAAGAATTTCTTTAGGTCATGGCCAGCACATCTCCTGGTTAAGTGCTCTAAAAATAACCTAGTTGGTGGACTCCTCTTATTTGAAAAGCTTTTAAATATACATATTTAAAATGTGTACCTGGATAAATATTCTGTGTAATACCTAAGTTTACTACATTATTAGAGTTGCAAAAATTCAATATGCCAATTTTTATCAGTTTCTAGGCCTTAGATTTGGATAATCCCAGCAGCTGCTCTGCACTCGAGTAAGGCCGAGCTTTTCCCCTTTCGAACATTGCAATTGTTTAGATGACATGAGTTTCTTTGTGATGGTTCCCCAACTAATGTCTGCTCTTTTTTTTATCCTTTTGCCTGCAGCATCCTCATGTTTATAGCCCTGTAATACAGGGCAATGCCAGGATGATGGCCCCACCAGCACACGCACAGCCGGGTTTAGTATCTTCCTCTGCAACACAGTACGGTGCGCATGAACAGACACATGCTATGTATGGTAGGAAACGTTTTGTGTTATATGTAACTTTTTAAGTCCTTACCTTGTGCAGGGATGTACTTAATCTCAGCCTTCAAACATGGGTATCATTCAGTAGATGTGGTTTATGTTTCATAAGCTGATGAACCAAGGCATTGAAAGCTGAGCCAAAGTGGTTCAGATGAAAACTCAAGTGTGCTGATTTCAGTAGGAGGCCAGTGACCAAGATGAGATTTCAACCTGGGAGCTGCTAAAGAATATCTGCTGAAAGAAGTTTGTTCAAGTTCTCTTGATCCATCACCCCTCGTTTGTTTCTTGATGATAATTAGTACTTGTTTTATTGCAAGGCTATGACCTCAGTTTCAAACTTGACTTTAGTTCTGGCAACTAGTGAAATGCTGTCTTTATGATACTACTGGCATTATTAACAGTATGAACTCTGCTGTTTAAGCAAAATAAACCATGTGTTGCTTACCTTTCTTTTTTGGTAAGTCAAGACTAAGTCTATGGAACAGCTCATGTGTTGCTCTGACTTTGACAATTAGTCTCCAGCATTATCAGATGGGCATATTTCACTTACAGTGAAGTGCTGAAAATGTGGGTTACCTTGTGACAAAGTAAAATGTGCAAGAACTTCTAAAGCACTATAAATGTATGATAAATCAAGGCCCAATTTGGAGGAAAAAAAAACCTCCCTGCAAAACATGCTATTGAAAGAGGTAGAGTCAAGGTTGCTAAAGGCTTGGGAATTGTCATAAAATGTCAAAACAGCAGATGGTCTCTTGAAAACATGGCATTTCAATACTTGTTATAGCATCTGAGGAAAAGTTTTATTGGGTCACATATATATTGACTTAGATTCTAATAAAAGATTTTCTGTACCTTTAGACATCTCTGTATGTTTTCGGTGCTTAGTTTTACACTGATCCTTAATGCAAGTCCACGATGTGTCATGAAAACTTACAAAGTAAGAATCTGGAGTTTAGTGTGAAATGAATTCTGACTTAAAAAAATGTCTTACCCAGCTGAGAACATCCTGTCAGATCTCTGCAGTGGGATGGTAACAAGAGTTAAGAAATAAAAATAACAGAGAGAAACCTTTTTTTGACGCTTGGAGGAAGAATTTGAGCTCATTTGTGCTGAAGCTGAAATGGAAGTTACTTGTAGAGATTAATCTTTCTCTCACAGGTCCTTGCTAATTGTATTACTTTGATCTTTTCAACTCTTGTGCTTGAGGTGTCCATGTAAACAGATCTTCTGTTTGCTTTTTCATTAGATTAAATAGAATTCCGATAAAGTGAATGATCAAAGGCTTTCAGACCTTTATTGGTGAAAACTCTCCTCTCAAATTCTAATTAAAATAAAACCAAACATGAGATAATCGGAGATTTGATTGAGAATGGTTGCATGTGACTCCCTAGCAATTGTGCACCATCCTTATCTTCTGTAATCAGTGGGTTCTACAACGTTGAAGTACAAGCCCCTTCCCTTGGCTGGCTTTGATCAGATGTCTGAATAGTTTTTTCACTGATATTCTAATTTACAACTGTTAGATCTCATTTTGTGTTGGTTTTGCAGCTCGTCTGTTGTAGGTATGTGACTACCTACCAGTGCAAACAACTAAGTTGGGTCAAACTTGAGAATTCTTTGGTATTTCCTTCCATGTAATTAAATATTCCTTTCCCCAGAGCACGTAATTTAACAGAAGTGGCTTGTCCTCCTGTGCTCTTTCAAGTAGCTACTTGGTGACTCTTCTAAACATTCTCCCACCTTCCAGTAAATGATGGAATGCTTGAAATTTTTGTTACTGAAACCATTCAACCCAGCTGGATCACGAACTCTGTAGGATACACTTTTTTTTGTGTTTGGTGAATATGAGTTGAGTCAAATGCACCCTGAACCCACCGAGGTGACAGTTACACGTGGGATGACTCCTGATGTTCTGCAACACCGTTTCAGTTCAGATCTTTGCAAGTCTTCCATGTGCTGAGAGCTTGAAGACCTTGCCCAGATGGACTGTGCTTCCTCAAAGTGTGTCCAGCTGTGACATGTTCACTCCACCTTCATTTATCGATATGTGAACACTTGGGAAAATGCAGGAATGCCTGAGGTGATAAATCTGAGCTGCTTCTGGAGTCCGTTGCTAAAGAACAACATGCTGGAATTGTTCACATCTGACTGAGTGACTATGAGAACATATCCATAACTTATGTTCTGTGTTTTGGGAAATTTAAGTTTACCCGCATTTGAACTAAATACACCCATGCACTTTGATGCTGGTCCTCTCTTTAAAATAATTTGAAAGTACAGAATAACAACTCCCTGAGAAACAACCACTACTGCTGCTTTTGATTTCTGGAGCACTTGCTCAAACAATTTCCCTTTTGGCTCTTTAAAATTGCTATTTGATTTTTTAAAAAATATATTGCTACCTATTTTTAACACCTTCCCCCCATTGATACCAGGATTCAGTGGGCCATGCTGCCCTTTTAGCCTTCAAGGTATTGGTGCTTGTTTGAGTTAATTATTGCAAAATTCACTCAGTTTTTTTCCTGCATATGTGGTAAAGAGAAGATGTTTGCAAGGACAACCACTCTGAGATGTGGGGTTGGGGGGCACTGCTTATCAACTATTCTTAAAGTGTGAAGCGTTTTGTGGTAAGATCTGAAACTCCACCTTCACTAATGGTTTGGGACAAGTTGAAAGTCTGTGGCAAATAGTAACAACCTGCCAGCGAAGAGAAATCCCTGTTGATGCATTAACCTTGAAAAATTTGGGGGTTGTTTTCCTTCCTGTCGTGTGGAGAGATGGCTGAATCCGACATCAGTGACCTACACTTGTTGATAAGCACTCTTCCCTTTTATGGAAAAGTATTTTTGTCTGATGCTGTTTAATGGGATATTCTTGCACTTCTGGGATTTCCTTGCCAGTCGTTCCAGTGTCACAACCCACTGTTGACAAGAGAGAAGCAGAGCATGGTCCCAGTAAATCCAGCTAAACACAGGATGGAGGAGTGTTCAAATCATTGGGTTTTTCCCCTCAAAACACAGTGGGGAAGGACAATGTCTGGGCAGCTTCTTCCCAGCCAGGCAATAACACGTCTGTGACACGGTTCAGCTCCGGAGCCATCCTTGTCCAGGGAAGTTTGCGGTGCTGGAGCAGAGCAGTGCACACACCCTTACCTGCCACACTCACCCCCCTGAACGTGGAGGTGTTGTTCTTACCCTGCTCAGCTGTTGGTTCCAGAACGTTCTGTGTGTCTGTCTCACAGCTGTTGGCTCTGTGTGGCCTCCCAGTGCCGCTGGTGTGGGGCTGGTGGAGTTGTTGGCCATGGTTTGCAGTTTGGTTCCTTGGTGTGTCACACGAAGACCAAACCAGTCTTCTGCTTCTGGTAGCAAATGTGGTTATCAAGTAAAGGGTAGATCTGTCCATACTTGTGTTAGTTTTCCATGTAGCTCAATTGTTTCCAGATAACTGCTGGAGTCCTCTGAAAAACTTAACTTTTGTGTTTAAGAACTTGTGTAAAACCAGACCTTGGTTTTATACAGATGCATTTCCTGTTTTCTGTGTTCTCATTCCTGTCCCCATTCTCCCTTCCCCTTTCCCCTTCTGCATATGTTTTACTGGTCTGGTGTTGTCTCTAACTTTATCTGGTTTCTGTCTCAGCAGTAGAGTAAATTCTATTACCCTGATAGTACAATGGTGGATAAAATATAAACTTCAGAGGATTCTCCAGGGACTAAGAGTGAACCAGTCACCAAAGGTGTCTTGGAACTGTTCAAAATGACAGTGCTATAGGTGAAAAAGCAAGGGGCCAGTTTCTGCTTTAGTGTAATTACATTTTAACCTTCTTATTACAGTGGACTGTAAGAGACCATGAATTGCCATAAAGTTTATTTTTGTCTTAATTAAGAACTGCAGACCTCAGTGTCACAGTTAAGAAGGAAGGCTTACTTGAGACTTGTGTTTCATCTCCACTCATTTGTAAAACTAAATATCTAGCTCTAATAGCACCTAAGTAAATAAATTATCTGCATGGTTCTACAGTCTTAAAAAAAATTTTAAAAATACCTAAAACTGACACTGACCTTTCCAGAGGACGGGAAGTATGCACGTGGCAAGAGGCTAATTTACCTTTCTATTTCCCAAATTCAGCATGTCCCAAAATACCATACAGCAAGGAGACAGGCCCTTCTTTCTACTTTGCCAGTGAGTTGGGTTTTTTGTACTAATTTTGATTGTACAGAAAAGCACTTTCTAAAGAACCAGATGTTAAAGGAATGGGACGTGTTGAGGGAAGAAGTTTCCTTGCACCAAACCAGGGTGTGGAAAACACAGGAAGGTGCCTTTCAGTGGACAGAGGGTGAAGCTGATGGACAGATTTGTTCGATCACAGGAAACTGAGTTGTCAATTTTTTTAAAAATTCATTTGGAATATGGAATGATCTCTGAATTCACTACCCAGTCTTTTCATCTGCAGCCAGAAGTGAGCTGTGTTTGTGGAGGCAAAGGAATTCTTGGCTGTGAGGGTGGTGAGGCCCTGGCACAGGTCGCCCACAGAAGCTGTGGCTGCCCCATCCCTCTCAGTGTCCAAGGCCAGGTTGGATGGGGCTTGGAGCAACCTGGTCTAGTGGAAGGTGTCCCTGCCCATGGCAGGGGGTGGGACTGGATGGCCTTTAAGGTCCCTTCCAACCCAAACCACTCTGTGATTCTATAGCTTCTGATTTTTAAACATCACCTTCCCAAAAGGAGAAGTGTCTTGTACCTCATCTCTTTTAAAAGCTGTGACTCAAGTCCTGAGCCCCTGGGAGGAAATAACTCTGGTTGCAGCTGAGGTGAAGGAAATTTTCTGTAGAGCTGCCAGTGCAGGAGTGCTGGGAAAAACTTTGTCATGACTGTGTGACAGTGACAAGATGAGTTCTCCTTGCTGAGGCACCTCCTCCTGGGCAGATGAACATGAGCAGTGATGTTTCCTGGCTCAGGTGAGGCTTTGCTGACCTAGATCACTGTCAGCAATGGGAGAGGGGCTGATGTTCTCCCAGCAGACTGATCCAGCTAATCCAGACTCAGTGTGTGTGTCCTGGGAAAGGCTGATAACTATAAAACACTGCCTTGTGGGTTGGTGTCCCAGTCATCAGTTTTGAGGGGGCTGGATTTGGGGGGGTGGTGTTTGCAGGATGAACTGTCACTGAACACATGGTAAAGGAGGACCTGCAGTCCCAGGGTGTTTTGTCCCTGCTCCTGTCCTGCTGTGAGACTTGTTTCTGTGTCCGTCTGCAAGTCCATCAGCCCGTGGCAGGATCTCTTCTGGATTTTTTGCAGTAGCTCATACAAGAGGGATGTGAGAAAATCCCCTTGTTCTCCAAAAGTCTCTTCTGGAACAGACTTCCTGTGTTTGTTGTGCCAAAATGTTCTGCCTGAGCAGGGGCTGGAGGTGCTGACCTGTCCTGTGTTCTTGGCTCTTGGTTTGGTGCACTGAAATCACTTGAATCAGCTCGTTCCTTTCATGGCTAATCTTTGAAGTGGAGTCCACTCTACCTGTGTAAAATGACTTCTTGAATTGTTTGTATTATGAAAGAAACATTTGCTATTTCTTTGCTTCCTACCATTCAGGTCTTTTAAATGTAGTTATCCTCACCATCTTACTGGCTCTGGCAATAGTTTGGAAGTTTTTTCACTGGTCAGTTCTTGAAAATAGGCTCTTCAGTTCATCTTTGGACCATGACCAGCGCTGACCACCATTGGCACCACTGAAATTCCTACCAGGAAAAAAGAAAATTACATAATGTGGTTTTCATGTACCCTTGTAGCTGGGAGTTCTGCCTGATTTCTGCTGCTCTGACCTCTTTTGATTTCAGCTCCTCCTGTGGGTTCTGTGGCTGACTCTACTTCTTGTTTGCCTCTCAGAGAAATGGGTGCACTTGTTAGAGCTGAATTCAGTAATTAATCCATGTGGTATTATTTCCCATTCCATGCCTGAATCGCTTTCCCTCACTGTCCCTGCAAGGTTAGTGCAGGGAAATACTTCAATTTAGGAACCAACTTGATTAAAAAGGTGCAGAAGCGAAGCAGGTCGGCCCAAGGAGAGGCATTTAGGCGTAAAGGGTGAGAAAACCAGTGTATTTGTGCTGGAATGAGCTGAGGTGACTTGCAAGGAGCTGGTTTCACCCTTCCAAGAGCTTTCTCCAAGCACTTTCTTGAATACTGGATGGCCATTTGGAAAATCTCCAAAATGCTGACAATTGGGGGAAAACATTGGATAATTGGTTATTAATTTTTTAATTTTTTTTTTTCACCTCCTATCTTGTCTTATTTGCTGTTTCATATGTGCAGTGAGCTGTTTGGATGACCAGGCAGAAATTCTTTTAAAAAGTCCCAGTGACAGTTCAGTTCTGGCTGAGCAGGTGAATTTGTCATGACTTTTACAGAACTCCTTTCCCAGCCCTGCTGGTCTCAGAGATTTCATGGGCTTGCCAAGAACTGTTACTGTTACTTGCTAAACATGGAATAACCCTCAACGCTGCTGGAATTGCAGTTTGAACAATAGTTTTGAACTCCCAAAGATCTGTGAATGCATTTCAGACCTGGTGCCACTCAGCCTGTTCTTGGTTTGTTTGCAGTGTCTGTACAGGATTTAAAAAAGGGCCCAAATAACAGTTTTGAAAGGCACTTTTAATATCGCTATTAAAACATAATTTGCAGCAGCATCTGAAGTGGTTTTAAGCTTGACAAGTTTGGTTATTAGAGTCATCTGTTAAAGACAAAATGGGGTAGAAGAGAAATTAGGGAAATAAATATTCTTTAGTATAAGAAATGTGGTGCTTCAAATGCAAAGCTGGGAATGAAATATTAGGTGGTTATGGAAGAGCTGCCACTGTGACAAAAACTTGATCCTCCTCCTGCTTTACATCTATTCTTCAGGGTGCTGTTTCTTGCTTTAACTGGTTTCTTGAGAGAGAAATTCCTCTTTGTGCAGTTTTATTGTAGAATGTATCCAGTTCAGAATAACTGGGTTTATTATTCTCTTGGCTATAAAGGACTGAAAGATGAATTGCACAAGTGGTTTAAGGGAGCCCCACGTTATTTCAGGGGCTCTTAACAAGCAATGTGGGAAGGCTTGAATATCTTACAACTTGGAATTAAATTTCATCTACATTTTAAAGCCTCTTGAATGGAGTTGGAGTTAATTTGCAGTCAGCTCTGTGGCTCAGGCAGTGGGAGGATTGCTGGTGTAACGTGCCCTTTGGCAAGCAAGTAATCTCTCCTTGCATTTACTTCTATCACTTTGACAGAGATAATAACTTTTGGCCTTCTTCAGAGTGTATAATAAGGAGGTTGAGATATTTTCCTCCTGAAGGAAGCCATAAACTTCATATTGTAAAAATGATCAGTGTCGCCATTGATAATTTTCATGTTATTGTAAGGAGAGATGTCTGAAAGTCAAGTAGGAGCATGGTGGGGATGCTGCTGCAAAATACATTTTAGTAGTGATAGGAAAAACTAAAAATACTTGGATTTAAAGCATAACAAAGTGCTGTGGGAGAAGATCCTGCAGTTTTGACAGTGTACTTAGAAAATATTGAGGTGTTTTTGAAACCCCCTCTCAATCAGAAATGCTCAGAGTGTATGACTGTGCTTGTACACTTGGATAAGTATTTTAGGATCAGCTCCAGACTGCAGGAATTGAGTTCATCTGCATTAATAGCCTGAAACTGCACATCACTGTTGGGCCATTTGCTCGGTGAAGATTTAATAGAGCTTTCAAGGGATTAAGTTAAATGTGGCAGGCAGTTATTTTCTAAAGGAGGAGCCTTCCTAATGCACCGTACCGGGGAGAAAAATCTCAATTAGGCAAAAAGATACTGTCTGTATATATTCTGGTGAATTTGAATTTGTTAGAACTAGGATTTGTAAGAATTATAGCAAGGCAGACTGGAGGAAAACAGGTATTTGCACAGGGTGGAGTGTCAGGGCTGTGACAGAGCAGTTCAAGGCTTGCTTGTGCTGATACTGTTGTGCTTTCAGATGCAGCTACATTTTAGTCCATTTTTTCCATCCATCTTGTCTTTCATCCTTTGTCTGCACCCAGAGAGTTCTGGTTGTTATAAACTTAGAGCCCAGTACAGTGAAGCTCTTCAGAAATTCCCTGCAGGAGGGAGGTCACTCACTTTGCTCACCGGGAATACCTGGGACAGGGGGTTGCACTTGGGAGTTTCTCCCTGTGCCCTCATTTTCAGATTGGTTTATTAGGGCAAGAAAACCCCACTGGAAAAGCTATCCCTGCTTAAAGGTGCTTCACTGGCCATCAAGTTCTCATAGAATACAAACCCCATAAAAAAAAACTGTAACCCATAGACAGTCATCGTTAGTTAACTTCAGAACAACCAAAAGGTACTAAAGGAAATAAGAAGCAGTTGCAGGGAAAATTCAGGAGCAGGTTGATGGTTTTCTTTGACTGTTTTCTCAGTATTGTCAACAAAACTAGCCTTGGTCTTTTCCAGCTGTGACATTGGAGGGATCAGTACCCATTGTCACACGCTGAAGTGTAGCTGCAAACATGGACTGGTTGTTGCACAAGAGTTAAAAGAAATAGAGAAAACATCTTCATTTTTTTTAGGATCTTGCTCTCCTATTGCATCCTTTGTGTTTAAAGGAACGCTTGCTGTCATCATGGCTTTTCATACTTCCTTGGATTCCCTCAGAAGTTCAAAAAAATACAATTTAGTGTGGCCTGTTTTGGAGCAGAACAGAGCAGGATCCAAGGAGGAACTCGTTGCTGCTGGTTTGTTGTTGGAGACTGGCACAGCCCTGGCAACACGTGTGGCTTCACTGGGGTGAAAGTTTTGTGTCGTTCAGTTTCTTCCTTTTTGGGAATTTTGTACCTTATTTGCTACTATTTCAAGGAATGAAGAATTCCATGGCAGTGTTAGAAGCTCCCAGGATGGTGCTGATCCAGAACAGACTGATTGGCCTTGAGGGCAGAGGCAAAGATGTGTTATTTTAGTACGAGAAACTGGCTTCAACAAAGGTTTGATGCTCGAGCAGCCTCAGTTTTCTCAGCTATGATGTGTTTTCTGGGTGTCCCTGGAGCTCTCAAGCACAGAGTTTGTACTTTATGAGCAATTTCCAGAAGAGTAGCATGGTGAGGTTAGCCAGGTATAAGGCCAAAGACTTTTTTTGGATGGTGGAAATAAAAATGGCTCATAACACCTTTCAAAAGTATGTTTCAGGAAATCCTAAATTGTATGAAAATTATAAATTTGATCTTTGAAACTGGTCTGTTTGACAAAGCAAAAGACGAAATGCTGCTTTTCTCTATGTAGTATCTGTTACATTGTCAAACTAGGGAAGATGAACTGTCTAATTATGGTTATTTATAGACTTTCCTGCCAAACCAAACTACACAAAAGCAAGGTAAGATCCTCAGCTATTTGCAAGATAAATATTTTTTTTAGAAGGGGGAGGGGAGTATATTTACAGTCTGTTTGAGCTGTAGTGAAATCCTCAACTGCAGATGGTGACTTGATGAGGTGCCTGTCCTGTATCTGGTGTTAAATATCCTTCTTTTTCATCCTAGTTTCCACTGGCTCACTTGCTCAGCAGTATGCCCACCCTAATGCTACCCTGCATCCGCATCCTCCTCATCCTCAGCCTTCTGCCACACCGACTGGCCAGCAGCAAAGCCAACATGCTGGAAGCCACCCTGCTCCCAGCCCCGTGCAGGTAACAGGCTCAAACAGGACTGAATGGCTTGAAATTGTGTTTAATTGTATTTAAATTAATGCTCTGCTGGAGGGGATTGCAGCTTGATGTTAATATGTTGATTTTTTTTGAGAGGGAAAAAGGGGTAGGATGGAGCAGTTCAGAGTCCTCCCTCTTTGCAGGGATGAGGTATAGCTTGATCCGTGTTGGGATTAAGGAATGATCATAATTATGTCAGTGCTTTGATGTGAGTGGAGTGGAAATAGTAGATAAATCCTGAGAAGTGTTTGGTTGTATTTTTGTCAAAGACAAGCAGCTGAAAACAAAATGGTCCTTGTGGTAGTGCTGCATTCCTTAATTCCTACTGGGAATAACTGAGCAGCTGTGAGGCACATCCAGTTCCATGGCTGCAGGTCCTCTTTCCTTTTACCCAGCAATCTGGGTTCTGTTTGCCAGACTCTTGCTCACATGACTTCCTAGTGCAAGGAGAATCCCATAATCCCAGGGTTGTTTGGGTTGGAAAAGACCTCTGAGACCATCAAGTCCAACCATTAACCCAGCACTGCCAAGTCCACCACTAAACCATGTCCCTGAGTGCCACATCCACCTAATGCCCACATTTTTTCTTACCCTCCTTAAAAATCAGAGTTTTTTGTGCTCAGCAGTTCCCTAGAGTAATGCATGACCCATATCCTCTGACAGCCTCACTATTAACTGCAAGTCTTGAAGACAGCCCTCTTTCACTCTGAGATCACTGGTTTTTCTCAAGACTAACTCACTTGAATACTTTCTGAATCAACCAGAAAAGTCATGTCTAATTTCCCCTGAAACAGCTTTTTAAATTAATTATTAATTGCTCTAAAGCAGCACTTACATTTCCATTTGAGCAATTCTAACACAAGTGATCATACTGGAGAATAGAGAACCAACTCTATTCTGAGCACCAAGGCTGAGGGAGGAGGGAGCTCTGCGCTTGCACAATTGTGGCACATCCAAACTCAAGTTTGCTGTGCCATGTGGCGGGATTGAAATGAGCCTGGTGGGATTGAAATGAGCTTCCTCACGACCACGGGTGTGGTTTCCTCACTTCCAGAGGCGTGGTGATCCTTAGATTCGCCCCTGATACTGAGAGCAGTTTTGCACCCCTTTCTCGTGGTAGTTGACAGGATAGATTTGTCTGATTTCTGAGGCATAACCTGAGTGCTCTCCTGTGTTTTTTTGCAGCACCACCAGCACCAGGCTGCCCAGGCACTCCACCTGGCCAACCCCCAGCAGCAGTCGGCGATTTACCACGCAGGTCTAGCTCCAACCCCTCCTTCCATGACGCCAGGCTCCAACACGCAGTCTCCACAAAATAGTTTTCCTACAGCACAACAAACAGTCTTCACCATTCATCCCTCCCATGTTCAACCTGCATATACCAATCCGCCACACATGGCCCATGTCCCCCAGGTAAACACAGTTTAACAACCTTCAAGACTTAAATGTCTTAATGCCACAAAGATTAGGACAAAAGTCGGGCCTGCTGAAGTGATTTCCATTCTGTCACCTCTCAGCACAGACTTACCTGTTATTGTTATTTAGGTTTCTTGTCTGTACATTGCCTTTATTTAGAGTTTGACAAGATGTTTGGACCTCAGCTTCCAACACCTAGTGCATCTGCAACTGTAGTTTAATGAAGACATCTTAAGCTGGCACTGCTACTGAAATAAATTGAGCTCCACTCCCAGTTCCTGGCTCCCATCCTTGTCCCTGCCCCACCATCCTGCTCACAGGACTGTTTGGCCATGCAGCAAACCAGGCTGGGGACACGATTCACGAAATGTGCCTCCCCTGCCCCCCATTTTAGGCTGTTTCTTGGAAAATCAGTTCACTGCTCAGGTGCATGATCCCAGGAAGAGCTGGCATACAGAAAGGTTGGAGAGCTGAGTGCAGGAAGGCTGAATTGCTGCTTTTGGTGGCAGTTTTAGGCTCTGCATTGTAGGCAAATTTATCCAAGCACATCCAGAAAAGGATATTACACAGATTATTAGGGAATAGCAAGGCACTGCAGTGGGGGGGAGGTGAGGTTCAGTTCAGGTGACTGCAGGACAATCCTTGCAGAAGGAAAACCCTGCACGTGTGTGTGTCTGTGTGTGGTTCTAAATGAACTGCTTATGCAGAAGATCCCCAAAGATTGCTGAGCAACTTAATGACAGTCCTTGATTCAGAATCAGAAATCCCCTTCTCTAACTGCTCTCTTTTGTGGTCAGCTTACTAAGGAAAAAAAAAAAAAAGATTTGGGAGGGGAAGCACATGGTTGATTCATCAAGAGCTCTGTGTAAAGCAATGTTACAGAGATTTCCTGATGTTCAGTAAATCTCCTGGATCTAGTGTCCTTTGTCAAGGAATGGACAGTTAAAGCAGTAATTTGCCTGCAGAATTTCTTCTTCAGACCAAGAACTTGGTGTCTGGCTTCTGCCTTCTCATGCAGGTTATCAATAGTTTGGGATCTGCTGGCTGACTGTGATTAGGGAGGTTTGTCCAATGGGTCTCCAATCCCATGCAGAATTCTGATAAAACCTTTGCTTTGGTCCCTGGGACAGTCAGTCAGTTAAGCCAATAAATTAATAGTTATTTAGGAATTGTTTTACTGATGTTGAGTGTTTAGCTTTTTGATTCTTTTAGGTTTTTAATTTCTCTGCTTTTCTGGGGGAGGATGAGGAGAGGATGTCCAAACTTGGTAATCTTGCCACGTCCTCCCAGGCTCTGGTTTCTGCCAGAAACAAGACTCCTGCTCTGCTCTGGTGTGATGGCACTGCTGTGAATGCCTGGGTTGTGTGTGGAGCTTCTCAGCAGGGTCTTGGCTTAGGGACACGTTCGGTGTCTTGCCTTGAAACATGAAACGTGTTTGGTTCAAGGACAAAGTAAAGCTGTACCTGAAATGTGCTGTACACGCCATGGCCAGGCCCATGGATGCAGGATGTGACCACTGCCTTCCTTTCTGTGTGCCAAGCACTTATCCAAACCACATTAAGCATATCAGATGCAACTTTGAGTCAGAGCTGCCTGCTCAGGCAGGATTTTTAGCAATCACAGACAAATCCTGCCTTGCCCTTGATTTTAACTGCTGCAGTCTCTTCTGTGATTTTTTTTTAAGAATGAAAACTACAGTCTATAGTCTGTGATATTTACACCAAACTAATTGACTTTCCCAATGAAGTAGTTCCCTCTAAAGATCTCTAGTGAAGGAATAACTACAGTTTAGTCAGAAATTTAAATGCATGTAATTATTCCATCGTGGGGAAACCAATCACTGGATTGTACAGTTTCTTATCAGCCTCATTTCCAGCTTCTAAACACCATCCTGAAGCACCACGTGGTAAGAATTCCAGTCAGGCCAACACAGGGGATCAATCCCATTTCCCTGTAGGTTATCAGATGACTCTTGAGCTGGTAGATATCTCACTTGAGAACCAGTTCTTTTAAAATTCATTACAGAGTTCTGTCAGCTGCCAATTTGCAAAGTGTTTGAGCCACAGCAGAAAAATTTTACCCACTGTGTCTTGACTCCAGCTGCTCCATGAATAGCTGCTCTATAATGATGCTCCTCCAATAGCATGTTTGTCAAAGTCCACATGGAGCCAGTCCTGGGAGGTATTTCTGTTCCACAGCCTGATCTTCTAAACCTTTTTTTAGAGCAAGAGTGAGATTTGAATTGCAGTTCCTGCCTTTAAAGGCTCCTGGAGTGCTACTAACACGTGCAAATCTGATAAAAGAGTTTGGGGAATGTCTGTGATGAGTCAAGTAACCCTTTTGTCTTTAAGAAATAAAATTCTGGCCACTACCTGCTATCTGTCTTTACTGGCATGGGAGACTTGTGAGGCTGCAGTTCTGGGATATGGTAGAAGGACAAAGCAAACCTTAGGTACAAATGGTGTTTTTGGGGGCTTTTTATTCCCCTGAGAGAGATCCACTGAGAGCTCTGAATTCCATAATATTTTGTGCTTTTAAGAAACTAGTGTTTACTAGGTTTTTAACCCAAAAAATTAATGACCTCTAGAGTCATGAACTGCTCTGAGCTAAAGAACCCACCAAGTTCCTGAACTTGCTTGCCAGAGTTGATCAGCCTTTTTCTGCTGAGACTTAGCCCTGGTTGCTCAGATCACGCAAGAATTGTGATGAGCTGAACTGGAACCAGAACAAAGGGATGAAATCACTCCTCTCAGAAGGACTTTGCTGAACAATGTGTGAGCACAGGTCACTGGAGAGGAGAGGGAGGTGCCCAGGGCAGGGAGCCAGGAGGGAATGTGGGGTTGTGTAAAGAGAGCTGGGGAAGGGATGCCAGACTCCCAGTGCCTGTGCAGTTCCTGTCTGTACCCTCTAGGAAGTGCTTTGATGTAGGTGACTAACAGAAATGTTTGGAAGATTTGTTGCTGAATTGTTTTGTTTTTCTTTTTTTTTAATATTCCCCTGTTAAAACACTGGCAAAATGGCTAAAACTGAGACTGTGACTCCGAGCCAGCACTTAAGAATTCGAGCCCTTTTTTAATTATTATTTTTCCTTTTTGTTGTTATTCCTTTTTTTTTATGTTCAAACCTGCCTTAATCCCTAACGGAGTATAAAATCTCTGGATTTTCTCAGCCGGAGAGAAAACTTTCGCCAGTCATGTGGCCAGGAGTTGCTGCCTCCTTGTGACCATGATACTAAAGAGCTCTTTGTTTCAGGCTCATGTACAGTCAGGAATGGTTCCTTCTCACCCAACTGCCCATGCTCCAATGATGCTAATGACGACACAGCCTCCCGGTGGTCCCCAAGCCGCCCTCGCTCAAAGTGCACTACAGCCCATTCCCGTCTCGACAACAACACATTTCCCCTATATGACGCACCCTTCAGGTGAGGAGTGTGTGCCCGGGACACCTGCACCCTAAACTGAGCCAGGGCGGAGGATCAGGACTGGGACAGACCAGATTTGGGGGAAAAAAAAAAAAAAAAAAAGACAAAAAAAACCAAACAAAAAAACCCCGACCTTAAGATGTCCTTGTAGAGCGGTTCATATTTGCCAGCCTGTTGCCAGCCTAGGTAGGTTTACCTGGTTTAGGGAGTTTTCCTCCAGCTGGAGTGGAGGAATGGGGAGCTGGGAGATGCTGTGGGACTGAGCTGTGCCAGGGTTTGCCGTGGTGTTGCCGTGTGTTTATGACAATGAGAGGTTTTATTAATTTAAAGCGCTCGGTGTCAAGGACGGGAGTGAAAATGGTTTTGGTTTAGGGCTGTTAGACTGCTGAGAAAGTGACTGCTAATAAAGTGACTGCTAATTTCAGTGACAGCTGAAAGCTAAACTTTTAATACAGAGTAACATTCTGCAGCTTTATTTTTGGGGAAAGTAGGTGCTGTATGACTTCTTTCCACTTAAAATTTAACCTGACTTGGGTTTCTTTGATTATTCGTGTTCAAACAGCCTTGAAATTCCTGTAGTGATGTTGTTTCTTGGGGAATGTGTGAGTAGAAAAATGCTTTCTGAGGGCTTAGGCAGGGGAAAAATAAAACCATCCAAAGGACATCTTGATGTGCAGGGTTTTGGTTTGTTCTCGAAAAAAATAAAAGAAAAAAAAAGAGAAAAAAAATAAAAGAAAGTTGAGCTCAGTAGTTGTCCTGTGACCACTTTACTAGCAAACTGTTGTGTGGCTTGCCAATTTATTATTTACATTTGAACTTTTTTTTTACAGTACAAGCCCACCACCAACAGCAGTTGTAAGGCTCATCTGGAATAACTGAAAGGCTGGATACCTTTTGTAGGCCAAATACCCTCCTTCTACTGCTTCTGCCAACTGGAAGCACAGAAAACTAGAATTTCATTTTATTTTGTTTAAAAAAAAAAAAATTTGATTTCTTGTAACATCCACTAGGAATGCTAACAGTTCATCTTGCAGTGGGAGAGATTCGGACTGAGTAGAGGCATTTAGGAACTTGTGGGCTATTCCATAATTCCATGCACTGTATCTGAGTCCTGCAAGTGCCCCAACTCTGCTTGCTGAAAACTGGAAGTTATTTATTTTTTAATGACCCTTCAAAGTTATGAACTCGTCAGCTAGCAAAAGAAGTAACAAGAGTGATTCTTGCTGCTATTATCACTAAAAATCAAGACTTGGAGATCCCTTTTACTTCTAACTAAACTTGAAACAGGTTCAGTAAAAGAAAAAAAAAATTCTAATCGTCAAACGGATGAGTTATTATTTATAAATCACGTTTGATGAGAGAATCACTATCGTGAGACAGTGATGTAACTTTTAAGTTAAGAAAACTTTTACTTTGTAGATAATATAAAATAAAAACTTAAAAAAAAATTAAAAAATAAAAAAAGTTTTAAAAACTGACCCTCCTCGGTGTTTGTGTCTTGATTTACCAGTCTCTGGCTGTACTGTGGTCTCCAGCTGTCATGTTCTGAATCCAGAGCCACTCGTGGGGCATTGCAAAGACAAGTGGAAGGTTTGAAAATCACAAGTTCAGCAGAGTTTTTTAACAAGGTTTTGTGTTCAGGTGGATTCCCTGGTGCCTCGGCTCTGGGTGGTGTCACCAAAGATGTCCCAGCTGGGCCTTGAGGTGATAAAAACTACACAGTTTAAGGTGATAAAATCATACGAGTCAATAGTGCTGCTGGAGAAGGAAAGGAAGGAATGAGGGTAAGAATTCCCTAGCAAAATGCCTGCTAGAAAGATGTGAGACAGACTCAAAGTGCTGTGTCCTCCTGACCCCTGTGTGGTGTCCTGTGGGGATGAACCAAAGTGGTGCTGGTTAAACTGGGTTGTAGAACAGCTGCACTTCATGGCAGAACAAATCAACTGTACAAGCTCTTCTCTGAACCCTTCCAGGTCAACACAGCAGAAAAGTGTACCAAATTCCTGATCAGGTGGGAATTAAAGCCACGGACCATCACTATTGTTTGGGACGAGACTCCTTCAATCAGTCTGTTGGCACAGGCTCTTGGCTGCTTTTTCATGTCTAGGGGAGCATTTCTGCCTTTTAGCACCCAGTACCTACTAAAACGGCATCCAGGTACCTGGAGAGAATCAGACTAAAGACTAAAAGTGAGAAACGAGTTCTAAAAACAGTTTATTAAGAGCAGATTTTTTTTTTTATATTACGGTAAAATCGCATTATTCAAGAATAAGTTACTTGTACAGTACATACAGAAACAATATGTAGAAAAAATTACTATACAAGAAGAACTTTTCTGTGCCAGTGGAAAGTAGAACTTTCAAAGTAATAAAGTCCCAACAAAATGTTGGCTTTAATCGTCCTGCTGAAGGCTGAGTTTGGGAACACACAGTTGCCTCCCCGGGAGTTGCTGGTGAAGGTTGGGGCTGTTTGGATCAAACAAGCTAAAATTAAAATTTGGAATACTGGTAATGCCAGTGTTTGGTGGTCCAGATTAGAAAGGAGAAGTTTTGGCTTATCCCCGGATCTCTTCCTATAAGCTTTGCCCCAAAATAGTTTCAGTGAGGTGAGTGGAGGTGTCAGTGTTTGGTACCTGCTGGTGCTGGGATGTGGGAGGGAGGGAGACATCAAATAATGCTTTAGGTCATGGACTTCTGCAGAACCTGACACCTACAAGGACGTGAAGAAGCCACAGAGCAGGGAGTTCTGTCAGCAAACAGCAAGTGGTTTATGAAGATGAAGATGAGGGGGAGGAGTTGTGGCTGGACCCAAGGCTTGGGTTATGCCCTAAGCCAGGTCTCTGCTGTCCCACAGAGAGAAGGCACTACCTGGTTTGCATCTTTATTGCCAAAACTTGCCCTGAGTAGCTGGATGAAATGGGGTTCCCACCCCAGACAGCCTCTCCTGGGAGAGGCCACCAGGAAGGGCCTCCAGAGCCGCTGCCGTGGGTCATGGTTTAGGCTGGATCCAAACTCATGTTCCATCTCCAGGGCCAAGGCACAACTGGGGTTAAACCTGACTTTTATTTCAGAGGTGGCTGTACCTGTGTGGAGCCACCCGAGGGCTCTTCCCTTGGCTTCCTCTCCTCCCAAAACTCAACACTGAGACTTCATAAACGCCAATAAAAGCCCACAGGGGCTGAGGAACTAAACCTGCTCAGCCTTACCTTCTCCCAAGTCCCAAGATTATAAAGATTCCTGCGAGTTGCTTACATTGCATAGGATGGAATGGTTAATGCTCTTTGCCCACTGCTCTAATCAAGGATTGGGTGCCTTGTGGGCTGGAGGAACGTGCTGGCAGCAGCAGAGGTGGGACTGCATGTCGGGCTCTGACCCGTGTCACAAACCAGATGCTTTCTAGGAGAAATGGGATGTCAAACTCAGTCCCCAGGAGCTTGGGAAATAACCCAAAAATCACTTGAGGTCCTGGCGCAGCTGGGTCAGGACCACAGTGAGTCTGAGATGGGGAGATGATGGAGCTGGGAGGGCTGGAAAACCCTTGGCTCCCTCGTTGGTGAGTTTTGGGATGGATATAACTATGAAATAATCAGAGTGACTTTCCCACTGCTCACGGGTGGGAAGAACAGGAGTTTGTTTGCACAGGGGAAGCAGCTGCTGGGGTGACAATGAACCCAACATATATTTTGGTAATCAAGCACAGCAATTTCCATTTCAGCTGCAGAGAAACCCCTTGCAATTAAACTGCAGGTTAAAAATACCACATGCACACGCATGTTACGGTTTTGGCACTGGAACAATAAGCCCTGGAATGCCAAAACAACCCACCCCAGCAGCATCTGATTGATCTGGCAGGGATTTATGTGGATTCATCTGGCAAGGGCTGTGAAGAGTGATCCCTTTTCCCAGCCCATCCTTTCTTTGCAGATGTAGGGAGATTAAGGCGAGACAACCTCATTTTTTGGGGGAAAAACCCCTTTGAACACAGCTCCCTGGTGCTCAGTGGGACTAAAATCAGGAATCTTAGCAAGATTTAGCATGTGTATGTGTTTTCCAAGGCTTTGAGAACCAGGCACTTAGCAAGGAAAGGAGATAACTTGTGTGTGCTTCCTCCTCTTCCCTTCCCCATCCCTGCAGACCACGGGGAGTTATTTATTAGTGATGGAGGGAGCTGACTTGCCTGGCACAAACCAACTCAGAGATGTGCTCCTGCCACTGGATGCAGCCTTTGTGCTGCTCCAGGCAGGAAAATGGGATGCGGATACAGCTGAGGAGCTCCAGGAGGACAGAGCTGCCTTTGTTTCCCCATCAGCCTCTGGCAGTGCTGGAGGAGCTGGACCAGGGCAATTCACTCTTAGTGCTCTGGAGTGAGTGTGTGACAGCATGTGCTGAGTGCTGGGAATGCTGATCCCCATGGAAAAGTAGGATTCCTCCCTGTGCACCTGTTTTCAAGAGAAAGGAGGAAAAAAAGCCTTTGCCTGCTCTAAATGCACAAAACCCAGGAGAGAGCTGGAGCAAGTGATGGGGAGGCATAAAATGCAAATCCTAAATGGTTTCTTCGAGTTGATGGTTCCTGTTTCTCCCAGTGTCATCCTTTCAGTGTGACTTGTAAACCCAGATTTGCTCTCACAGCCATTCCCTGAGCTGTTTTTGGCCCTGGATATTTTGGCCTTGCCCCACAGCACTGGGATTTGCCCTTCAGCTCCTGACCTTGGCTCCTCAGGCTTTGGCTACCAACTGGGCTCACCAAGCACTGGCTTCACAGCAAAGCCCGGCCTAGAGGCTGGATTTTTGTGAAATTCCCTAACTCAGCCCAACAAGGCTTTGTGTTCGCTTGTTTTCAAATTAATTCCTAAATGTTAATGCTCCTGAGGGGCTCCCACCTGTACTGCAATTTCAAGGAAAATAGAAATCAAAAGCTTTCTGGAAGGCAATCTCAAGGCAAGTTCTGCAGCCGAAATCCCGGGGGCTACGCTGGGAAATCTGGAAGTTGAATGCTGTGAACATCCCCCCCGGGTGTTGCAACAGCTCCAGCCCTTCCTCATTCTTAAAATAACAGCAGCTTCTAAGAAGTGGTTCCTCTCCTATGGCTGCCCCAGGCCCCGGCAGGTGAAGCAGCACCAGAGCTTGGAAACAGCAGCGGAGATTGGGGATCAGGGGATCTTGACACCCAGGGGTTTGCTGGGACGGGTTTTTCCTCCAGGTGAAGAGGTGTCCAAGGAACCCCCTGTTGCCTGTGTAGCTTTAAATACCACCAAATTCTTGGTGACACGGTGTTTTGGGGGGGAAAAGGCAAGTGACAGCAGGGTGTGCTGAGCTGGTGAGGTGAGAAAACATTTGGGGGAAAAAGTGACTTCAAATTTGTGCCTAAAATGCTTCCAATCACCGGGATAGAACGGTTCCATCACCGGGGTAGAAGTTTCATCACTGGGATAAAACAGTTCCATCGCCAGGATAAAACAGTTCCAACATCAGGATAAAACGATTCCACCACCAGGATAGAATGTGCCCATCACTGGAATAAAATGTCTCAGTGACTGGGATAAAATGTCTCCATCACCAGGATAAAGCCCCTCCATCACCAGCAGGAATGGTTTGCTGTCAGTCTCTGTGTTAGTTCTCAGCTGGTGACACAATTAAGAATGGAGCAATTAGTGTTCACGTCTCAATTAGCTGGGCAAGCGAGGTGAGCATTCCCCTGGCTGGTGCAGGGAGTGACTGTGGCTCTGCTGGGTTAAAAAAGAAGTGCAAGAAAAGCCAGTTTTTGCCTTATCTAAAAATAAAGCCCAAACCCTGCTCGTGCCCGTCGCAGGAGCTCAGCTCAGGTCGGGCTTTGCTGGTGGGTTTGGCAGCGGCAGCACGTGTTGGGGCGGGAGGACAGGGCCCGGAGCAGCAACTTGTCAATGAATTTATAATCCTTTTTTTCTTGGTTTCCTGGGTTTTTTTTACCTTTCTCCAATTCTGTGGGTGTAACACAGACCCTGGTTCCTTCGCTGGGACAGGCGGGAGGCCGAGCCTGGCGTCGCAGCGCTCGGCACACGGGGCACAGGCACGAGCGGTGTGTAAACAGTAATGAGAAAGCTTTGAGAATAACAACAAAAATAACAATAAAAGGCCCTTTAACAGGCCAAAGAGAGGGAGCACACCCGTACAGGAGTGAAAAATTACCCCCTTCCTTGCGAAAATAAAATAATCATCCCTAACCAGAAGGAAGAAACAGGTACATTCTTTCTCTGGATGGATCCCCAGAAGGTCTCTAGGATTTCTCCACCCAAAAGTGCATCCCAGTGCTGGCGTGGTGCCAGTCAGAGCGGTGTGTACTGGTTGTCGATGGCACGGACGTGGCCCCGGCCCGGTGCCTCCACCTCGTAGTCCGACTCGCGGGGCCGGGGCCTGGGGGCCGGGGGGATCCTGCTGGGGCGCAGGCTCTGCGCCAGCTCGGCCGGCGGCGGCACCAGGTGGAAGATCTGCTCTGAAGGGGG